GCCGTGCATGGTGGACATGACTGACTTGCCATGGTGGCAAGCCTCCGGGCACTTACTGGTTGAATTGATCCGGTGATGTTGAACCCTCACGCGGTGGACGAACAGAAGTGTGGAAGCCGAGGCAGGCAGAGGAGTGAAAGTCTTCCAATTGGGACCCAACGAGTGCAGGAAGTGCAGCGGTGGCGTGCAGTCTGGCGCAAGGGAAAGTGAGACAAAGGTCAAAGACGAGACTCTCGAGGTCTAAGGTGGCAGATAAGTAGAATGGAGGACGGTTCACCGAGAACGTATCAGGCGAGAGACTGAGACAGTGTGAAAGAGGAGGGAAGAGAAATTGATGATGCTGGTGAAGAAGGTCGAGGAGAATGAAGCTCCATAGTATATATAGGGCAAGCTTTCAAATAGGACCAGGAACAGGGAGTGAGGCAGCTCCGAAGAGGAATGAATGATGCATGGATCGCTCTATTCAGCCCCCCCCCGATGCTCCCAGCAACCGCAGTACCAATCCAGGCCGTGAGAAGGAGCTGCATGGAACGACTTTCCGGTCCGTTTGATGGCAATTGTGATGCAACTACCCGATTGATTATCGGTGAAGGGTCATTTGCGAAGTGGGGAAGGAGCCGAGTCGGCGTAGCTGAGATGTGTGGTATGGGGGGTCAAAAAAGAAAGTAAACAGGTAAATGATAGATAGAGGGAAGTAAAGAGAGAGACATAGAGAAAGGGAGAGAGAGAGAAAGGTTTGGATAGAGGGAGAGAACTATCCCGAAACCGAAAGGATCGAAATCGAAATCCAGCAATATGAGAAATAGATAGAGATCAAAAAATAAGTTAAAATAAAAATACAAATCAAAAAGAATATATAAATAAAAAGAATACATCAATTCAAAATCAAATAAAAGGCAAATAACAATAGGAATAATGTATGGCACTAATCAAATTAGATTCAACCTAACCAGATGAGATCGAAAGCCACCCAATGGCAGAAGTTTAGCGGAGAGATCAAACAATGGGTGCCCGCAAAGGAAAGAGATAAATAACAAGGATGAAGAGTCCTAGGAGGACAATGATCATCCTGCAAGTCCCGAAAGACTGGAAGGCCCCCGAAAAAGTGATAGATACATCGACGGTGGGGCAACGACCAGAATGATCCTAATAAGTCTGTCTTCTGGACATCCACCCAGTGCCCGAAGGGGTTAAACCTGTCGCCCGACTAGTTTGGATGCATAAGATGCGGACGCTGGGGGAATTATCGACCGCTGCAAAAGGTTGCCGATCATCCCATTTCAAGCATCGCGAGGGTCCTTTGCAGTATCCCCGTGTGATCCCCAGGATCCCTGTAGACTGGAGACTGGAGACTGGAGACCCCTGGATATATCATCCTCCTGGTCGATGGAATCGGACCCCTTTGATTGGAGATCGAGAGTGCCAACCCCACGGTCCCGATGATTCTTTTTCTTTTTCTTTTTTCGTCTTCTTTTTTCTTTTTCAGAGGCGTGTCGATCGTAAGATTACGATCCAAACATTGCCATGCAAGCAGGTCGATGGGATACGGTGTATACGGTGTCTGTGATACTCAAGCGAAAGCAGGGGTCCAGATGCGATTCCCCTTCTAGTAGTAAAGCGCAAATGAGCATCATAGATTCCTCCCTCCTAGGATTTGATGGTTTTGCCTCATGATACAGAACCATGAGGATGGTGGTAAGGCCTGTTAGGGTTAGCCGTGGTTAATTTACTGGAATTCCCAACATGTTTCACATCGTCAAACAATGACACAATGAAAGTCTCCTCACCGACGGTCGTCAATGACCTCAAACGGACGTCAGACTGCCTGTGCTTGGACTAACCTCCAGGAAGTCAAGTTAGTCGACCTCCGGATCGGGAAGTAGAGACAAATCAAGTGGACCGATGAAATCCTCGTATAGACATCTCGATCTTCATCCATCTGTTTGCTTCCACCATCCTCTGTCTAATGTCTATCACCGAGCTGATCCGGCAACAACCAGCAGATTAACGTGTGAGATTCTTCCCAATAAGAAAAATGAGGGGTGTGGATCTAACCCACCGTCAAAGCAGGGGTGTCCTGGTCATCGGTACAAGGAATTGACATCCAACGTTCTCGAAGTAAATGGAACAACGTCCCCCCTGTCGTCGTCCACGGGGCTGCTCACCGTTGTTGTCCTTCGGTCCGTACAGACGCGGATGCACCTCTACTTCCGACAGCCAAAGGACGTCCTTCTACACGTATCATGAAACGACCAGTCAACCTGACAAGGGCATGAGACTCGCACTTCTCGGAATTCCCTTTTGCTTGGCTTCCATGTCAGCGGATCGCGGGCCTTTGCAGTCGATCCCGCGGACCCGCCAACCAGGTTCAAGACGAAGATGGCTTTTCTCTTGGTTATGTGTGTGTTATATTAGGTAGGATGGGGGGTTAGGTTGGCATTATTGGAGGAGATGACCCACCGCGCTCCTTTCCGTCGGCTCTCAGCTGCTCGCAACATGACCAGTCCGGCAAGCAATAAAAGAGAATCTCGGAAGATATGGAGTCCAGGAAAGGAGCTGGACCTTGGCAAATCCCACCATGGCGGAAAACTATCCATCATCCGTGAAGCAGATCAAGCCCACATATTCTAACAATAGCAAGCAAAAAGCCAATCCAGCCAGTCCAGCCCTCCGTCCAGAATGGTCCCCTCCCACAAATCAAGCCCCCGGAGAACCAGTATGATTCGCCTTCGCAGTCTCCACCCGACGGCCCCCTACCTAGCTTCTTAACAAATCAAGTATGCAACTTCCAATAGGGAGAGACAGCGCGCTGGATCTAGTTCTCAGTCGGGAGCCGCTAAGGGGCTGATCGAATGGCGCTCCACAAATCACCTTCGCCTTCTCAAGCCCTTCCTCCCCCCCTGTCCGACATTTCCGGGACGCCTGCAGCCATGATCATCCAATGTTGGGACTGGATTTGGCACTCGACTAAGGTAGGTAAGGAATGAGTGAGCACGCGGTGCCACCAAGTGCCCTGAGCCCCAATTGTCGAGGCAAGTCGCCCAGTCCATTGGGTCATCCTAGCTGTGCGGCCCGTCATCCGCTCAGGCGCGCTAGGATCATGATGCTATCCACATGGTCTGCCTAGAGGCCGCGGGTACTTTCCTTCTGGGAATAGGTAGACATTGGTACTATTGAGAGGAAGATGTCGAGAGTCAGAAGAAAGAGTAGGAAGAAACAGAGTGCCATGATTTGCAAGCCATCGGGTCGATCGATCGTATTTCCCACCCACGGTCATCCCTGCTTGACGGGAAGAAAAAGACCGGCAGCGATCCGATATGAAGCCGTACTTACCATAATAAACAACCGCCAACTCTCATCAATTCGAAAGCCAATTATCATCCCAATCCAGCAATCGACATCTCCTCGACCCAATCGGACCCGGAACATTCCCCCCCATCTCAACCCTTAGTCCGCAAACCTCTCCTGATCTTCCAGATATCTTTCCCAAGATGTTTCGTTTCGCCTAACTAAACTACCCACCACACTAGCTCTAACTAACTAGAGCCATTATCGACTCGTCTTTCGTAGCGTTGGAATGAATCCTACCCCCGTCTCCCTCTCAAACTCCGATGACGCATCGTACTTTTGGCCCTTTCTGACAGGTCTTTTTCCTCATTGCCTTTTTGGCTCTAGGGTCGCACATACTGACGGGCGGCAGTCCCCATGAAAGATTGGAAGGTCCACTCCATCGACAAGGATTTAATTTTCCGTGAAGTCAGGCTAGACCGGTGAAGAAGTGATATATGGGCTGGAAAATGTCAGGTCGGCTTGCAGCCTTGGATGCAGCCTCGATTGTGGTGGCGCTCTAAGACACGATCGATCGGACGACTCTAGAACAATGACATAGCAGTGTTCTTGGTCTTTGTCATTCACTGTCATTGTTGTGATGAAGGATTGTCAGGCTAGGCTTGACTGATTGAGTAGGTAGGTAAGTATATCTCTCGTCTGCTGTCCTCCTGCAATCACCCCGTCGCATCGCATCGCATCGCATCGCATCTTGTCTCAAGGCACAGGAGTAGGTAGACACACACCATCCGGTTGGATGCATCCTCGACGTCAGACCTACCTTCCTACCTACCAGACGGTGACGTTAACCTGTTGCACCCGAAAGGAAGCAAAGCATGGCATGGCCTGCTCTCCCGTCGAAACGTCGACGCATTGCCAGCCCGACCTCTCTTACTTTCCCCCTCTCGCGCGCGCGCATGCATTGCATCCTTTACAGCGGCGGATTCGCGCACACCGCCACCTCCAACCATATCAATTAATCAATTAGAAGGTTCTGCCTGATTTCCCACATACATATGCGCATATCCATATCCACTTTCGAAGCAGACACAAACATTCGATATTCTCCGAGTGGTTCGAGTGGCTGGCTTTACTGGGTCCATTTCTCTCCCTGCTAAATTGCCAATACGGATGGATATGTATGATATCCACCATCGCACAGCAACGTATGCGTAGTCGACGGGCTTCCGTCCCGTATTACATTCACTCCGAACCCGCTGTTCAGTCGTCCACTGAGCCAAGCTGGGCCCTAGATTGATACGATCATACCACTAGGTAGGGAGGTCGTATCGCCTTGTCTGGTGAGAATCGAGGCGGTGGGAAATTATGGGTTTAACAAGAGTCGGAATCTTGCAGCGACCTTGGTTATGGGACAGCGCAGGAAATTAAAATTGGGAAGGGATGGGAGGGTGGAAAAGTGCCGTACGTAGTTTTCAAATGAGATGTGATTTTCCCCATATTTTCAAGGAGAAATAAGATAAATCAAATAGAGTACAATAAAGTAAAAGGATAATATACGGATAACAAAATTTATTCAAACTACGAATCCAAACGGAATTTAAAGGTATATACTAAATGTCAGAGAAGATGTTCAAGTACACCATTTCCACAGGCTCAACGCCAGAAGTCCTAAAACTTCAGAAAATGGTGTCGTGACTCCTCGTTCAACTCTATGGTCATCCACCTTCCCACATCAAACGACATGAGAAGATATCAACTTATAAAGCCGACTGTATGCTCTCCCAACGCTCCGTTAAGGACATCTTTGTAAATTAAGTCGGGAGAATGATCTCCGTTCTCACAAAATGCCCCTGCAGTACCCAGAGTGGACTGCATCGCTGGTGTAAGGTTGCTTGCAACCTCATTTGGCTCTAAAAGAGCGGTCTGATATGTTGTTGGATTCCAACAATTGCTTGTGTTCATCACCCTTCTCTTCATTCTTGCATATGGTGTCGATCTGTTAACTCATTTGTATTCATCATAATAGCCGGTTGGCAAGGAGTTATCATGGCATGGATAGTGCCCACATATTGTGGAGAAATCAATCCGCCGATGTTAGATAAAGGGGGGGATAGTCATCAATCTTCTCATCGTTACTTTCTTCAATTGTCAGGTTGCCAAAATGCACCAAGCCTGTGCGATATTGATCCCTCATGGGCCTCGGACAGACATAAGATACTTCAATGGGTTTACTCATTGAGGTGGAAGAGTGCCGAAACACTGCGATGAAAATTAGCCATCCAGCTCCCCGTACTCTCGTGAATCCTGCAACTTACCTTTCGCCGTAGTGGTGGCGCCGGATGCTCTCGGCAACCAGGCTTGAAATGTCGATGATGATCAACTTCTTCGACTTCTGCATGAGGTGCGGGGGTAGAGGGAAGGTGTTTGTCACGACAATGTGGTCAATCGCCTTGCATGCTTCCATTTGCTCCAGTGACTCTGTACCAAAAAGACCATGGGTGGCGATGCAGTAGACCTTCTTGGCCCCACCTTTCCTCACTACTGTTTCTGCTGCAGCAATCCAGGAACCGGCCTTGTCGATCATATCGTCGACGATAAACACGGTTCTATCTCGGACATCACCAACCAGCGTGATGGTCTTTTCGTGCTCTTTGATGCGAGCGACGCTAGCCTCATCGTCAGACGATTCAGCGGCATCAAAAGAGCCACCCAAAGCATGGTCGCCCGGGAGAGATGGCTGAGTCGAGATGAGCGAATCCGCCATCGGATCGGAGATGCCATCCACACCATCCGGGTTGGATGTTTTCCCTGGTGTCGTATCGCCAGACTGGGTACCCGACGTTTGAGTGGGGGTAGGATAATCATCATCCACCAGGTGACCCTGGACCAATCTCCCCGTGATCACGTCCCGTACGCGTACGTCCGTAGTCTCATTCGCGGCTTCTAGCTCCGAGGGACGACGGGCAGGTGGGGTCTCCGGGCGCAAGTAGTCGATGGCAGCCGTGCTCTTATCATCAGACTCGGACTGCGAGCCGCTTGGTGCAGGGGTATTCTGACCAGAAACCAAGTCCTGATCGACGAAGGGGTCCTGGTATTTCGGGGCAGGAGTCATCTCATCGATGGAATCAAAGAAAACCGTGCTGTCAGACATCGTGACGGACATCTTCGGGCGCCTTCTATCCGTCGTGACGATCCCGAAGTTGAGCTTCAGGGTGTCTGCCAATGATGTGACCCGCTTGGTACCCCCGGCATTTTTGCTAACAACCACGGCCTCCTTCCAGCCCGGGACATTCATACGGATCCAGCGGGCAATGAAAGGTTCTGCGAACAGGTTGTCCACAGGTTTCCCGAAGAACCCTTGCATTTGCGATGCCTAGTACATCGTATACTAGTAAGCATTCTGCTCGAGATTCGACAAGGCCATTCCACTTGCGTGAAACGGGACCCTCGTGAGATGGTATAACTCACATGCAAGTCCAGAGTAATCACGTGGTCCACACCAGCAACAGAAAGCAGGTTCGCAAACATTCGAGCGGTGATGGCACCACGGTGGCTCTTCTTCTTGGATTGACGGGAGTAAGGGAAGTACCTCGAAGGCCGTCAGTATCAACAGGGCAGTACATAATCTAGAAGGCATCATACGGTATAACCGCTAATCCAGAAAATCGAATCAGTATGACCGTAGCTAGAATGGCATTGTGGGGGAGGGAGGTAACACACCTGTGATGGATTTTGCGGAACCACCTTTGCAAGCAGAGATCATAATCAACAGCTCCATAACACTGTCATTGATCTTTTCACTGCCGCTCTGAAGGATGTAGACATCCTGGTTCCGCACCGAGACACCAATGTTGACGCTCGTTTCACCATTACTGAATTTTCCCAGATCAGCCCGGGCAGGCTGAGTCCCCAATCGCTCGCAGATGGTCTCTGCAAGAGCCGGGTGGGATGTGCCCGAGAAAATCTGAACGCCCCTCATTTTGGAAACGGGTTAAGGGATATAGGGAGACATGGACTAAAGAGAAGGAGAGGGAAAAATATGTAGTCGACTTGGAGAAAAGGGGGGAAAACTCATCCCCTCTTGTCTCATGGAGTAAGAAAGATGATGCGGAAGAGAAGATAGAAAAAAAAAAAAAAAAAAGTCGAAGAAAATAGGACGGGAAAGCGGACTAAACGGACTAAAGACCCGCTGCGAAGAGGGTCACGTGCGGCCGTCGCTTTCCGTCACGAAAAACACCCGCATTGATAAGGCTTCCCCCGCTGTCTTCTATACGCGATACGATAGAGTCCTCAATCCTCACCACACACCTCAATTATGTCACAGAAATTTCCCGAAGTCCAAGGAGGTGGCTCGCTGATAGTCGCTTGGCAAGTTAAAAACAAAACCATTCTCGTGGTGGGCGGAGGAGAGGTGCGTTGTTCCTTATCAAGAGTCATAGATAGCCACGATTTATATATTGACGCACATGTATAGGTCGCCGCCGGGCGTATTCTCCACGCACTCAATGCAGACGCCCAAGTAAAAGTCGTCTGTCCAGCGTCAGGTTTAAACGATGAAGTCGCGTATAGGGTATCTCAAGGGCAAGTCTCTCACGTGGACCGCAATTTCCAGCCGACAGACCTAGACGGCGCAGACATGGTCCTGGTCGCCGTCGACGATCCCGAGGCCTCGACACAGATCTGGAAACTCTGCAAGGAGAAGCGTATCCCCGCAAATATCGCCGACGTGCCTCCAGAATGCGATTTTTATTTCGGCAGTGTCCACCGTGATGGCCCGTTGCAGGTCATGGTGAGCACCAATGGGAATGGACCGAAGCTGGCCAGTATCGTTCGGAAGAAGATTGCCGATACGCTGCCTGATAATATGGGCGCTGCGATTGATAATGTGGGTAAGCTGCGGAAGAAGTTGAGGGAGGTTGCTCCGAAGCCTGAAGAGGGGCCGAAGAGGATGAAATGGTGAGTTCATGCTCATGTTCCCGATCTTCTTTGTGATCCTCCGGGTTAATAGTGTCTAGGATGTCCGGAGTGTGCGAGTCGTGGAGCTTGGAGGATCTGGTTGAAATGACTGATGATGATATGGATGGCCTCTTGCAGCATTATACATCTGGCAAGATCCCTGCGTTGAGTGACATCCGCTCTTCTATCTAAGGTGTTATGGCGTTGGACATGGATGATGTGTAACTTTTGAGCGACCCAGGAGTGACTATTAATATAATGCCGTTAGATAGTCTTTTGGTTTTTATTTATTTATTTATTTTTTTGTATGCTATACAGTTCCTTTCTACGATTGAATGACTGCGGAGAGGGGAATATAAGACGATGCGACACCTATAAGCTCGCCGTGCCCATCATTGCCAATAGATAAATTATGGTATACTAGCAACCCCAATTACCAGAGCACCTCTAACACACACATACAAAAGAAACCTCAAAACCAGCTTGTATTAAAAAAGAGTCAGAAGAAGACAAGATAGAGAAAGGAACAATGCTAAGTCTACATTGAATAATAACCATAGAAATCAACCAGACAAGGATATCCAAAAAGTGAAGCAAGGAAACAGCCACCGAAAGGGCTACACGAGAGAAATTTCGCCAGGAGAACGCCCACAATGGGACGCTTAACGCCCTACGCTGTATTTGCGAGGTGGCTGAATGGAGACGGAACCCCTTGAGCGATCGGGTGAACGAGGGGGTGTCGGGGTCGGTGGCAAACCGAGTCGTACCTCACCGATCCTCCGGAGGAGGGACTGGAGGGCGATGCGGATTTCAGGATTGAGGTCGCGGCTCAGTAGGTCAACGGTGAGAGGGTAGAAGGTCTCGACGTTCTTGTCGAAACCGTCGGACGGGAAGTTGGTGTAGCCTTCGAGAACGTCTACCACCACGGGACGCCATGCGATGATGTTCCGATGTTGGGAATCCTCGTCAAGGCGGACGAAGCTGCTGATGATGTCGGCGCAGAGACTAAGGGACGTTAAGTCAGTGTTTGCCTCAAATAGATAACAAGCGTAGGTGAATACTTACGGAATCAGAGCAGCCTCGGTAGCTGCACGGTTGCTCTGCCTTTCCTCTCTCTCGTCATGATACATGCGGAACAAGATCTGGACGTAGGTGGCGGCACTTCCGCTCTCCTGTTTGAGAAGATTCGGCGGCTGCTTCATGAAACCCTGTCGCCACAGCTGCATGCGAAGTTCCTTGTCTTCATTGAACTTCTTCGCAAACTGATAGCTCTTCTTCAAGAGTCCCATCAACCGTAGCAGTTCAGGGCTGGGGATCTGCGCATAGACCTTGTCGTTGGAGAACAACTCGTGAACAGTCTCAATCATGAGCAACTGAAGGACGCAGTTGGTGATGATTCGGTTGAAGAAACGACGTCGTGCCACGGTTACAGCAGCGGGTTGCTGTTGCGTATCAGGCGAAGGACGGTAGTCCTCTAGTTCGGAATTCGAAGGAGCCGGCATGTCACCCTCCTCATGCTCAGCGGCCTGCTTCTGCACGCCGTTGGCCCTGGACGGCTCCGCAGCGTTATCCTGTACCGAGAGGGACTCCAGGGTTCCTTGCTGGGCACCTTCCTCGCCGCTTACTTCCTCCCCATTGGGAGATTTGGCCGTGCCAGGGGATCTGGCAGACATGGAAGCGGCAGCCGTGAACAGTTCGTAAGCCGTGGTCCTGCTAAAGAGCTCGACAAAGGCACCGACAACCTTGGTCCAGTGCTCCTGTTGGAATTTTTCGACATTTTGAAGAATCAATTGCTGCAAGCAATTGCTGCCAATTCGGGCAATAGTATCATTCTCCTGGCAGATGCAGAGAGTGAGGAGCTCGAGAATTCGTCCGAGCATATATTCCAGAGCGTCGAAATAGTGCGTGAAAAGTGTGATCATGTTTCGCAAGGCCTGGATCATCGTGGTCGAAAGCCACACGGATAACTCTTCGTGATTAGGGACCTTGGACATTTCCGACTTGGAGTGCAACACAACGAAGATGGGGTAAAGGAGCTGTCTCCAGAGAACGTCCCAGAATTCCTGGGGGAAGTCCCCACCGTGGCGAATCAATGTATCAAACAGATAGGTCAAGGCACGCGATCGGACTTCGAGGTCATCGCCCGTCATCAACACATCCTGGAATGCAATCAAGATTGGATACCAGAATTGCTCTTCCTTGGACTGGCGGGTCAGCTGCTTCGCGAGGTTTGTCGATGCATCTTGCACATTCTCAAACGATGACCCACGGTGGGACAAAGGACACTCGGGGGTCCTCAGCATTTTCGTGACTGTCGATTTCAGAGTCTCGATCGCCTGGAGGGACTTCTTTTGGAACCTCATGTTCTTGGAGAACTCGGTGAGACACACAACAAGGTCGGGGAAGGCGCCTTGCGTTATCACAACGCCAAATCGTGTGTTATAGATCAGTGATACGTGCTCAAATGCCATGTTGACAATGCCCTCTGTCCCTGCGTTAGTATCAATCGTCCTTAGTTGATATAGGGGAATACATACCGTATGGTTCCCGGGCCGCGACAGTAAAGACACCGAACATCGTTTTCCAGCCGGACCGGATATTGTCACCACGAGCCTGGATCATCTGGATGAGGCACCGCAAGATCATATCCTTGACAGTGACGGCATTACTGTTGGCCATAACATGCTCGAACGGTTTGAGGAAATCTTTCTGAAATTTGAAACCAGGAAGTTCTTCAATTTCCATAAAGCGCATCGAAAGCTGGCGTAGAGAATCCAAAGCAAAGAAGACCACCGTAGTGTTGGAGTGGCAGCCAACCTGGTTGAAATGCTGACCGAGGACCTCCCAGATCTTAGACCATTCGATCCTGACTCGCGTCATGTTGTAATAGCTGATTTCGACCAGCTTCTGCAAGCTGTATGTCCTCGGCGAGTCGGTTTGTCCGGAGGATTGGATCTCTTGCCAGCTAACTTCGCTCAGGGCTCTAATGAAATCAATGATGGCTTCGTGGGAGAGATTTGCGGTGTTGGTAAAGAGTCTATCCACTCCCCTAATCATATCCGCCGAACGACTCTCCATCGCTACCTCACTGCGGAAAGCCGTGGGGCCATTGATCGAACGAGGACGACTACGCCTGGTTGATTGCATGGACTTCCGGGATCCATCCGACGGCGATTGCGGTACAATCCGCGCCCGCGAAACGTCCGGCAAGGAACCCTCGTCGACACCCTCACTAAGAAGTTGGAGCCGATCGAGCTGGCTGATACAGGTGAGAATTTCCCTCCAGGAGCTTTGGAGATGATTTCCTTCCGTGAGTGCGACGTCGAGTAGAGCTTTGAGGGCTTCGACGTTCTTGGCCACCATCTCTCGAACATTTCCGAGGTTCGTGAACTTGGCCAAAGCAGTCACAAAGGCAACTCTGGGAGTCTCTAAATCAAACTCGCAGCTAATACGGATGGCAAGCTTCATACCCTCCATACAGAGCTTGATGACCTCGAGGTTCTGAGTGTCTTGCATGGGGGCAGAAAGACCGGAGAGGAAAGACATCCAAGTGACGTTGAACATTGAACCAACATGGCGAGCCGAAGTGGCGGGGATGAACCGGGAAAGCGCCTCCTTGACTGCAGTCTTGCGCTGAGCCCGGATCAAACTGCGATACAGCTGTTCGGTCTTGTTCGCCATCTCTTCCGAGGCCTGGGCGTATTTCTCTCCCTGAATGTCTCGTCCCACCGTCGCGAATACTTGTCCAGCCCTGGATGCCAGCCCAGCTGGGGCCGACGTAGCAATCCCGACGTTCGCGGCATGTTCGCGCTCAGTATCGAGGACTATTTCGTTGCTATTGATTTCATCATAGATGGAGCCAAGATAGTCATCGGGAAGATCTTGGTTGTCATTGATACCCCGGTTGTTCTTGATGAAGTCCTCCTTTGTCATACGGCGGCCCTTGATTTTGGCGCTGTGCTGGTCGGTGTTGAGCATGATCACGGAGTACGAAAGGACGTACGCCGTATCAGCATTGGCAAACGCATTGGGATTCTGGGTCACATAGCGCTCTGCGAACTTCAACATGAATCGATCGATCTTCTGCGCTTCGCCCGGAAGACGGAAATGCTGGAGGAATTGACGGAGAGCATCGACGAAACGCGTCTTCTCAAATTCCATCATGTCCACAAACGCATGCATGATGGCAATGTTTTCAGGCTCTCCTTCGCCCAGATATTCACCAATCATAGCCTTATCCAACCGTTCATTGCGGAACAGGAACGCGGCGAGTTCCTCGGGAGCCTCAGAGCGCACAAAGCCCTCTTTGACGAACAATTTCATTCCGCGCTTGGGTTTGAAGTTGAACTGCTGAATAGCGTTTGTGAGAGCGATCTTCCTCTGCTTAACTTTCTCGATTTGGCTCGGATCGTCGTCAGCCACTGGGGTGGATCGACCAGTGTTCTCAGCACTGTCGACTCTCGGCGAGGCCAGGAAAGTGCCGGCGTTGGTGTCGATTGATTCTCGGGGGTTGTCAATCGACTTCTGCGAGGCCGAGTGGGGAACCGGCGTGGACTGCCCATCCACGCCTTGCGCCACCCAGCTGTCTAGCGATCGCAAAATCTCCGCAAGACATTCAACCGCTTGGTTCTTCAAGATATAATCGGAGGGCACATTTTGGAGATTTGGAGGCTGGGCGTTGGCGACATGAGCAGTCGTCAAGGAGGGAGGCAGAGTGCCGGACCGGTGCCATTCACGCCCAAGGGATGAGACCTTAATGTGGTTTTCCTGATACTGTTGTTGCTGGAAGGGACTGATGGCGACCGGTACACTGGCGTATCGGGATAGCTGCTCGATGAGACTGTAGAATTCGGGTTAGACGAGATGTGTCGAGGGACTAAAGGGAAATAAACATACTTCTGGAAAATGTTTTCCAAGGCCGTTCGGTCGCAGTCGTAATTAAGATACATTTCCACCAAGGCTCTCGGGTCGTCGGCCAACCTTTCCAGGATTTCCATGAAATACTGCTTTTGAAACGCGGGGGAATTCCGCTTCTCGAGGATCGCTAGGTATATCTCCTTCAAGAACACCTCAAGCTCTTTCTTCATCATCACTCTCATGTCTTTGAGCATGAGCCAGAAGATCTCACAACAGACTTCGAAAACCCTCGGAACCGAGCTCGACCCATTTCGACTAAGACTCAAGCAAAGATGGGGCCGGACAGCCTGTAGAAGCGTCATCGCATCTAGGCTACTCGAGCTGGTCCTGATGGTCAAGAGTGGGGAGGTAAAAGCGGCAACATGGTTGTTGATGAGATAGTGGATTAGGTGTAAGGACAGCAGCTTCGACCTCATGTTTTGAGACTTCAAATCCTGCTGTTGATCATGGGTCAAAATCTTGTGACTCAGCTTGCAGAGCGCTCTGAACACCAAGAAGGCGTCTTTGATATAGATTTCATCTTCGTCATCCTCCGCAGTGGAATCCCCGTATGGCCGGTCGTCTGCGGACGCTCCCGACTGATGCCGCGCCGGGGCTTGGCCAAGTTTGGCGCGGGTAACCATTGTAGGTGCATTGTCATTGACAGAGGTCACGTCCTTGCTGGATTCGAAACTCTGCAAGGTGAGCTTCTCGGTGGGCTCCGCGACGACGGGCTGTTCCGATTCCAGCCCCGAGGCCGTATCGGGCGTTTGCTCCTCTTCCGCGGACTGGGGGGCCTCAGGCGTCTCCATAGTGACCACGTCGGAGGCGGCGCCTTGGCCTTTGTCACCCTCGCGCAGGAGCAACTCCTTCAGCTCAAGTCTTACATGAACCCGTTCAAATACCGTGCTGACCATTTGTGTCAACGACCCCTGGGCGATTTGTTGGTTTTGACTGGATTTCGAGTAGATGAAAATGTTGTAGATCTGGCGGACAGCCTTCAGGAGACCCGCTCCGTGCACGACGATTTTGTCATTCAAGACTGCAGCCAAAAGGGATTTGATGATTTGTTGTTGAATCTCAACCGGCGTGGCTTCGTTCTCGAAACAGTCGCAGATCGCATCGATGGCTCGTTCAATCAGGGGAGGATGCCCCGCAGTGGGCTCCGTCTCCGCGGCCTTGGTCTCCTGGGCCGAAGGAAACGCAAAGTACGAATATGTGATCAGCTTCCCAATACAGTCCAGTGCTGTCACCTGCAGCGGAATGCTGAAAGACTTGGTCGCGATATATAGGGGGCGGAATATGACTTCGGGGTCGATGGGCTCACGGTCCGATTGCTTGACATTGGCCAGGGCCTTCTGCACCGCATTCTCCAACTCCTTGGACTTCCTCGCCTCCCTCGATGCGCCGATCGCATCGAGGGCTGTGACGATGAAGACCGCGGAGCTGACCGGCACCGATCGCTGGGTCGCGAACGTGGCGGTAGTTGATCGGGAATCCGAGCGCATTCGCACATCGGGGGTATGTTCCTCGAGCGGCGGGATGGAGGCGACCTCCTGTCTTTCGTCGACATCCTCCTTGTCCGGACTGGCCTCCTGTTCTACAGAGGGCGTATCCACCCGTTCTTCTGGCCGAGCATCGTTCTCGGATTGCACGTCGGCCTCAAGTTCCGTCGACTCAACAGCGTCGGGTTCCTGGGGTTGCGCGGACCCTTCCACGGTGTCTACCTCCTGTTCCTGATTGTCTTCTTCCACCGTTTGTACCTCGATGGGCTGGCGATCGGATTCGTCCGGAAGGGGAGATTTGCGTTCGTCGACCGTATCAGGAGATTGGGGGCGAGTCGAGACATCGACACCGTTCTCCTTGTTCTCGGCCGGGGGTGAGTGGGAGGGCTCATTTACAGAGCCATTATCGACTTCCGCCATTTATGCGAGGCTCCGCCCGGAATGATCCAAGGTGAGTGAGCAGTTGAGGGGTCCACATGGGACAGTGGACCGGGGCAAATGAAGGACTAGAGGTGAAGGAAACGAGGGGGGATAGTTGGCAGGATAGAGAGCATTCAATTCCAAGAGGTTAGATGAACCTAACAAATAGGGACAGGGAACTAAGTAAGGCAGTACCTCATGCGGCCGCGTGTCTTCTCCCGGCAGAGGAAACCGTATCGGGCAGGCGGTGGAGGACAGCAGTTCCCAAGGCAGCCATCCTACATTCCTGCAATTCCAGGCACTAATTTCCAGGCTCCCAGGCCAGAAATGGTGGGTGAGGATTACGTAACTCACCGGCACCCGGCGAGACTATTCCGATCAACTTCACCGGGAAAGCTCAACAAAAAAGTTCATTGGCATCATCTGCGGGAGTCGAGACTCTTTTGATACCGGCCCAATTTTCCATCGGTCTCATCCTTCCTCTTGGTTGCCTCCATCTCATCTCTCCATCTCCATTTACGTTGCGGACTTCTTTTTGTATTATAGTCGATCGCATAAGGGCAACCATGGCTGCCTCCACCCTCCGCATGCGCGTCCCCAACGTTATGGGCCTTTCCAAAGGTGCCTGCTCCGGTCTGAGACGGCCGCAAGCCCTGCACCGATTCAAGGACGCCGCTCGGTATGATGGACCCCCGACCTTTTCAGTATCAATTAGGGACCCTTCGTGAAGACTGACAATGTATTGTAACCTGATAGACCTCAATTGCCCGCCCTTTCCGCCCTTTCTCGCTACTATGCCTCCAAGCGTATGCCGTCCCAACATCTCATCCTGGTTCTTTCTCATCCCTGAGAACCGATTTTTCTTTTCAATCTGGGAGGTGTCGACTCTAACATGAATCCGTAGCCTTCCCTCCTCACACAATCATCAGCATGCCGGCGCTGTCGCCGACCATGATGGCTGGTAACATCGGTGCGTGGCAGAAGAAGGCGGGCGATTCGCTGCAGCCCGGTGATGTCCTGGTGGAGATTGAAACCGATAAGGCTCAGATGGACTTCGAGTTCCAAGACGAGGGTGTCTTGGCCAAGGTTCTGAGGGAGACTGGTGAGAAGGATGTTTCGGTCGGTGCTGTGAGTGACCCTTTGACATCACCTTGATGGTTTCGAGTGATGGTCGTTTGCTGACAGCTGTCCCCTCAGCCCATTGGTGTCTTAGTGGAGGAGGGTACCGATGTTGCGGCTTTCGAGTCGTTCTCCATTGAGGATGCCGGTGCTGAGAAGCCCGCCCCTGCCCCGGAGGCTAAGGAGGAATCCAAGGGCGCTGCCGATGCCGGTTCGGCCCCCTCTGCCCCGGAGCCCGCCCCTGCCGCCTATGAGCCTGAGACGTCTGGTGAGAGGCTGCAGCCCAGTCTGGACCGGGAGCCCGCTATCGGCCCCGCTGCCAAGGCCCTGGCTCTGGAGAAGGGTGTGCCGATCAAGGCCCTCAAGGGCACCGGTCGCGGTGGCCAGATCACAAAGGAGGACGTTGAGAACTACAAGCCCGCTGCCACTGCCGCTGGACCCGCCTTTGAGGATATCCCCCTGACCTCGATGCGCAAGACCATCGCCAACCGTCTCCAGCAGTCCGTGCGGGAGAACCCCCACTATTTCGTCTCGGCCACCCTCTCTGTCAGCAAGCTGATGAAGCTGCGCCAGGCCCTGAACGCCTCGGCCGACGGCAAATACAAGCTCTCCGTCAACGACTTCCTTGTCAAGGCCTGCGCCGCCGCTTTGCTGAAGGTTCCCGCCGTGAACTCCAGCTGGCGCGAGGAGAACGGCCAGGTGGTGATCCGTCAGCACAACACGGCCGACATCAGCGTTGCCGTTGCTACGCCCAATGGCCTGATCACCCCCGTCGTCAAGAACGTGCAGGGCCTGGGTCTGTCGAGCATCTCGAACCAGATCAAGGACCTTGGCAAGCGTGCGCGTGACAACAAGCTGAAGCCCGAGGAGTACCAGGGCGGCACCTTCACCATCAGCAACATGGGCATGAACGCCGCCGTGGAGCGTTTCACCGCCGTGATCAACCCCCCGCAGGCCGGTATCCTCGCCGTTGGGACCACCCGCAAGGTTGCCGTCCCCGTTGAGACCGAGGAGGGCACCGCGGTTGAGTGGGATGAGCAGATCGTCGTGACGGGCAGCTTCGACCACAAGGTCGTCGATGGTGCCGTCGGTGGGGAGTGGATCAAGGAGCTGAAGAAGATTGTCGAGAACCCTCTGGAGCTTCTGCTCTAAGGTCGTCGTCCTGGTAGGTTTGAGCGATCGGTCCGTCGAGTGCCCACTGTCCATGGTCGGAGTTTCTTGGTATTGTCTTAATGTGTACTAAAAACCCTTTACTGTTTCTTTCTTTTTTTTTTTTGTATGGCCATATTGGTCTGTTCAGTACAGCTTTGAATTGCGCAGTGCGTTTCATTTGTGTCTAGATCTACAATGCCTGAATATCCTTGTTGAAGTTCTCTTAAGTAAAGTACCCACCCTTACCTCCAGTATTCCCAAGAGGTGGATGGATTGGAGAATCCAATCCAAACAGTGGTGACAGAAACAAGCCAACCACGCGGATACAAGCTTCCAGACTCTTCCAGTATGATGCGATGGACCCAGTAAACGGCGTGAATTAAGTTTCCAGCTGCCAAGCGAGCCAGAAAGGGCGCAGTGCAAATCAGAGTATGGCTTGGCGGGTCGGGAGCGCGTGTGCCAACTCCACCCCGTGACGGTGATGTCATTCTTGATGGTGGGCCCGAAAATGGCATAAATACCTGCGTCGTACGTTCCATCCGGATTCCGGTCCGGTGTTAACTTTTTTTTCTCCTTGATACGTCAATCCTAATCATTGATCATTCTATACTGTATGTTTGATGAATACCTAACCCTCTGCATTGATGGTGGCATACTGGACTGCTCTAGTTATCGCTACCCCCTCGATAGGCTCAAGTTCGCTAACGATCACCATCTAGACAGAATTGCCAATTCCCTTATTCTATCTACCAATCTTCCATCACTTCCAACATGTCCTACGCAGACGCCGCTTCCAGGGGCCCCAAGCAGTCCGTTGATGAAGTATGTTAATTCCTCTTGAATCCCCCCATCCCCTCCATATCGTCCCTTCCAAAGCTAACCTCTACCCCAGGCGTAAGTACAAACACCAAGACTCCTACTCAGCCCAATTTCATCTCCAATCCATTCTAACCCAAATCTCCTATACAGTCGCGCCCCCAGTGTCGGCGGCGTATACAGAGATGAATCCGAAAGCACCGCCTCCCTCGTGGACGTCGACTCACCGCACGTGACGGCAGTCGACTCGAGCTTCCTCAGCCAAGACATCAAGACCACCACGCAAGCCGAGCGCATAGAGCGCGAGGAGAACGCGAAAGCGCAGCGAGAAGCCGCCGAGCAGCGCGAGAGCAAGGGGCGTACCCGCCGTGGCCGCATCAGCCGCAACAAGAGCAACCCTGTCTACGTGGGCAACGCTCTGGTGCTCGGCTTGATCGGCGCGGGTCTCGGTCTCGGCGCTTACAGGAAGCATCTGGATGGCAAGCTGTCGTGGCAGCTGGTGGGTGCCTGCTCTGGGGCGCTTGGTGCGTTTGGTGTGGTGGATTACTACGTGAGCAAGTAGGTTTACCCCTCTCCAAGAATTGTTTTTACATGGGCAAGATGCTGATAAGGTCTGTTTGTTATTACCAGGTGGTTCCTCCAGAATAAATACCCCGCGAAGTGAATCTGGGGAATTGTGGGTTGATTGATGTCATGTCTACTACTCCGTTGGCGCTTGATTTCTGCGGTTGCGGTGGCATATCTCTCGTCTTATTTGTGAGGTGATCTCGACTCTTTTCTGTTTCTTTTCTTTTAAGAATGGAGTTTACTGGCTGGGTATGTTATTGTAGTATTATTAGGCAGTTTCTTAGGTCAATGACAGCATTTTGATTGTCAATGCAGGCGTGGTATGATCGTAGGATGCTTTATATCACCGAGGCTGTAGAGTGGAACCCTTGCAGGCTGCATGCTGGGGCACCAAAACAAACCAAAAAGTGCGCAAGTAACAATAAAACATAATCATAAAAAATCTAAACACCCCAACCAGTCTGTAAAAGCAACTAAGTACATGGGAACTTCCAGGGTGGTGCATACTGCACAGCATCACGGACCAACGGGTGAAGGCGGTGAGCAGAGTCAGAATCCAGCTGCAAGAACATGTGGCTATAACGGTGATTATTATTAGTAGCACTGGTTCGATGTTAGGACACGTTGCTGGCAGCCTCCACACATATCAGCTTTTGCTTTTTCATCTATCAGACTCCTCTGTGGCGCGTGCTGTCTTTTGAGTTCAGTTGAATCTGTTTCTTATACCCCTTGTCTTGGGACGAAGAGCTGGAAAGCTACGCCTGATATTGAATAGTCATAGGAAGTGTCTCGCCTGTGAAGATGGTATGATCCTACCGAACTAGTTGCTAGGGCTATCATATGGGATGGTCTTGCTGACTGGTTGGATATTCTAGAATTCCCTGTTTAACTCCGCGCTCAAGCAGTCGTCTGCGATCCGTCGTGATCTCGACGTGTTTGCGGAATCACCTCAGACCTCGAGTCCAGCTTTGCAGGGTATGATCGCTCTACTAGGACAGACTACACTCACTTCAGATGTAGACAACATATCGTATGACGGTGGAAGCTCACAACTAGACAGGCCAAATCGCCGCATCGCTGGCGTCCCTATCCCGGACCGTCGACGACTACTCCGCTCTATCCAAAAAAGAACTGATCCCCGAGAAACAACAAAAAGCCTTCGAGCGGACCAAGAACTTCCGCACCGAACTCACAGACTACCGCCAGCACTTCGACCGACTAAGAAAGGCTCGAGAAGAAGCGGTAAGCGCCCCGCGCACGCCCACCCATTGGGGGTAAAAAAAAAAAAGGAAAGATCACTAATCGAAGCGTCGATCGACTCTAGCAATCGGTCACAAATCGCAACGAACTCCTCGGTCGCCGTCCACACAACACTGCCACGCCCGAGAACCCCTACGCGCAATCGGCGCTCCCACAGTCGTCGGCGTTTGCGCCCTCTTCGTCGCGGTCAGGTCTCAGTTTCGGTGCCTCCCCGTCGGACTATAACCGGGAGACGCATGCGCTGCGCGAGCAGTCGTTTTTCTCCAACACGCACACCCAGCTGGATGACTTTTTGGACCGGGGACGGGCCGTGCTGTCGGATCTGGGGCAGCAGCGGGAGATGCTCAAGGGTACTCAGCGGCGGCTGTACAGCGTGGCTAATACGTTAGGGATCAGTGGGGATACGATTCGCCGGGTGGAGCGACGGGCGAGAGAGGACAAGGCGATCTTCTGGGCGGGAGTGGTGATTTTCTTCCTGTTTTGCTGGCTGGTGTTGCACTTTTTGCGGTAGTTTACGGGGGACTTGACGGTCCGTTGTGGAGGGGGAAAGCTACGGGGGTGACTTGTTTTGGGATGCTCTATCACTAGCGTTGGCGTTCTTGGGCCATTGATTGCATGTCTCTCATTTTTTTTGATTTTTCCTATGTTGTGTATGTATGGAGGATCAGTGGCTGTCATGGGAGACCGTCAGCTGTACTATAACATGAACATTCATTTTCTCTGTAAAGAAAAGTATCATCTTCCCAATTAAATAGAAAAAAAAGAAAATACGTCACATCAAGATAAGATGGCAGATCAGGTGACGTGGTTGTTGCGACGACGGAGCATCGGCAAGCAGAGGACGAATCGGAAGCGCACAAGCCGATTCTCACCGGCGCTGCTTCTTCCATCCGTCCTCAGGCTCGCTCTCTCTTCTTCCTTTCTTCCTTCCTCCTCCTCCCCTTTTCCCATACTTCTTCTTTTTCTTCCCACTCTTCCCATCTTTCTGTCAGATTAATCTCTGTCATCTCATCATTCACAATGTTCGCCGCTCGCAGCTCTTTCAACCTCTTCCAGAAGCGCGCCTTCTCGGCCTCCGCTCGTCAGGTATGACTGGTGAACCTCGGTCGCTCTGCTCGGATCGACGCTAACCTTTTTTTCCCTTCATCCTCAGGCCTCCAAGGTCACCGTTCTCGGTGCCGGTGGTGGCATTGGCCAGCCTCTGTCCCTCCTGCTCAAGCTGAACCCTCGTGTCACTGATCTCTCTCTCTATGATATCCGTGGTGGCCCTGGTATGTGCAACGCTGGCATCTGGTCGCACACACAATTCCATCGGGGGCCGACTGCTAACCGCCGTGTTTCCTCTCAGGTGTCGCTGCTGATCTGAGCCACATCAACACCAACAGCACCGTCTCTGGCTTCGACCCTACCCCCACCGGCCTGCGCGATGCTCTCAAGGGCTCTGAGATCGTCCTCATCCCCGCTGGTGTCCCTCGCAAGCCCGGCATGACCCGTGACGGTATGCTTCTCTCCCCTCCGCAGTAATGAAGCCATGAGCCTGTACTGACTTTGCTCAAGACCTGTTCAACACCAACGCCTCCATCGTCCGCGACCTGGCCAAGGCCGCCGCTGAGGCTTCCCCTGAGGCCAACATCCTGGTCATCTCCAACCCGGTATGTTCCTCTTTTCTTTACGTTCATCGTGACCTAGACTAATTAATCTAGGTCAACTCCACCGTCCCCATCGTCTCTGAGGTCTTCAAGGCCCGTGGCGTCTACAACCCTAAGCGTCTGTTCGGTGTGACCACCCTGGACGTTGTCCGCGCCTCGCGCTTCATCTCCCAGGTCCAGAAGACCAACCCCGCCAACGAGGCCGTCCCCGTTGTCGGTGGTCACTCCGGTGTGACCATCGTTCCCCTGCTGTCGCAGTCCAACCACGCCAGCATTGAGGGCGAGACCCGCGACCAGCTCGTCAACCGCATCCAGTTCGGCGGTGACGAGGTCGTCAAGGCCAAGGACGGTGCCGGCTCCGCCACCCTCTCCATGGCCATGGCCGGTGCCCGCTTCGCCGAGTCCCTCCTCCGCGCCGCTCAGGGCGAGAAGGGCGTCATCGAGCCCACCTTCGTCGACAGCCCCCTGTACAAGGACCAGGGCGTCAACTTCTTCGCTTCCCGCGTCGAGCTCGGCCCCAACGGTGCCGAGAAGATCCTCCCCGTCGGCCAGATCAACGCCTACGAGGAGAAGCTCCTCGAGGCCTGCCTGGGTGACCTCAAGAAGAACATCCAGAAGGGTGTCGACTTCGTCAAGGCCAACCCTTAAATCATTTAACTGATTTTTCTGGCCCTGATTCTGCAGCTTCCTTCCTCCCTGTATAACAATCTGTGTCTATATCTCCCTCTTCCTTTTCCCGTTCCATTTGTATTCCATAAGTGACCCGCATTGGTTTGACCTTGGAGGAAATGCAGCTGCAGTGATCTGAACATGTGGAGGTGGGACCTGTATTTTCCTCGGCAGTTGAGAACACAAGTAAAAAAGAAATATATTCACAATACATGATTCCCCTACTTAAAAGTTCCCCCACCCGCGCTATCATGTTTATGTAACAGTGTCTACAAGGTACTTTTACTCTACTTTGGATGTCTCCCTTCGTGTACGATTACGTCCATTTCAAGTAGCTACCTCTACAAATTACTACGACTCACTAGTACATCAATGCGTAACTGCACCTAGCATGAATTGTATATTTTTTAGCTCATTCTTGAACAGCCGAGGTAGGCAGGCAGGCAGGTAAGAAAAAAGCTGAGCTACGTGGTGCATGTGAAATGTAATGTAATGCAATGCTTCGATGAAAGGCTGAAAGATCGAAGAAGATCAACTAACTAACTATACCCTACTACCCAGGCTAGCTAGCATCGCAATGTGTACGGTACATCCATCCTTCTGCATCTCTACCAATTAACCACCGGCCCGCCAGGCAGGTAGGCAGGCAGGTAGTGACCCAAGCAACCAAGCAACCAATCCATCTCCATCCATCAACCAATGAAGCAAAATACCAATGAACCGATGAACAAAGCGAACCATGTATGCATGCATGAACAACATAAATGAATTGAGAACCGTCAATCATAAAAGAACCAGCATGTACGACAGAGAGGAGAGTGAAGAAAACCAGATAGTTAGAATGCAGATAAACAGGATCGAAAAAAAAAAAAAAAAAAAAAAAACAATCCAGGGTATTCCTGCTCGTATCACGCAAGGAGATTCGTTCGTATTGGGGGCATGTATGCATGTCTGAAAGAAAGGGAGAAACAGGCGCAGAAACAGGAACAAACAGAGATAGGGAAGAGAGAGAAACTAATAGACAGACTGCGTGGGCAAAGAATACAGAAAAGAAGACAGCCTAAGTATAGCTCCGCATCGCATCGATGTACCCCGTTCCGCCGCGGAGGTCGTGGTCGAATGTCTCGGCGACTTCGAGAACACGCTTGATGTGCTCCATGGAGAGCGGGGTTCTTTCGTTAACGGCGAGGGCCTGGGCCGTGCGGACGGAGTTCTTGATCTATATCATTTGGTGGTTAGTTTGTTTCAAGTATTGCATTACGTTGGAGGAGGAACTCACCTGTCGTCCATTAAGGTTATGCCGGGACAGTGCGTCAAAGTCCTTATCAGAGAACACGGCAGTCTGAACACCCTCCATGGCTTGCACACGCTCCACGAACATCTTCCAGACGCTGCGCTTCGCTTTGGTGGTGAGGTCGCCGTAGCGCAGGGCGACGTGGATACGCGACTGGAAGGCGTCGTCGAAGGTCTCAACGCGGTTGGTCGTCAGGAAGAGTATGCCCTGGAAGTATTCGAGGAGGCGCAGGAAGATGCTGACCAGCGCGTTGCGGTGGATGTCCTGGATGGTGCGCTTCTCGAGGAAGATGTCCGCCTCGTCGAGGAGGAGCACCGCGCCCCACGAGTGTGCAATGTCCAGGATCTTGTTGAGCTCGGCTTCAAGGGTGCGCGAGTCCGTGCCGAGCTCGCCGGCGCTGACCATGTACAGGGGCCGTTTGAGGAGCTCCGCGATGCCTTCTGCGGTGAGAGTCTTGCCGGTGCCGGGTGGACCGTGGAGGACTGCGACGAGGCCGCGGCCCTTACCCTGGATGACGTCGTCGATGTTCTGCGCGGCGCAGAAAGTGTGCGATTCGACGAGGGCCTTGACGATGGACTTTTGGTTGCCCGGGAGGACAAGCGAGTCGAAGGCATCCTCGTTCCAGTCGATATCGCTGATGCCGGAGATGGAGAACTCGAGCCAGAGTTTCTCGCTGAAGGCGAATCCGAGGACGACGGGACTGGCGATAAGCAGTTCTTCCTCGCTGAAGTCGCGCTCCGAGGGATCCTCGACTTCGTCCATGTTCTCCTTTCGGATCTCGTTGCCATGCTCATCGAGCTCGACTTCCACGACGTGCGGACGGTTTTCCTTGTCCCGGACGACCTTGTACCGGACGATGGGGGTATCGGAATCGCGACGGCCGCACGCCTGCTCGGAGTCGGAGTCAGACGCGGCACAGCAGCAGCCATCCTCGTCGTCTTCGTCGTCAGATGGGTCGAGGAAGTCCGGGTCCTTGGGACGCACGGTGCTGATCGGATAGTTGGGGTTGATGCGCCGGTGGATGGCCGGATCAATCATGACGCGGCCGTTGATGTTGACCTTGATCACGGTCCGCTTTTTCTTGTAGAAGCCCATGCCCTTGTGGAATCGGTAGTTCATCCCACGCAGGGAAACGAACTTCTTGCCGCGCTCGATCAGCTGGGCCTTGACATCCTCGGACTCGCGGTGGTACTTGAGCGGATAACATCCAAGAGTGGTGATCTTGCGCGTGCCCTTGAAGGATTCCACCTCGGCGGCCATGGTCCCCATGCCGAAGGATTTGCCGTCATACTCGAGATAGCGGCCTTCGATGCTGTACCACGTGCCTTTCATGAAGGAGGACTCCTTTGTGGCATACTCGATCTTGAAGGCGCGGGGCTCGTCCTGGTTGCCGTACGTAGGAGAGTACGCAATGGTATTGGGCTTGAACAGCGCCCACAACAGGTCGAACGTGATCGTGTTGTTGTCCAGCATGGGGTACAGGGTCTTCTTGGTGTCCGCGTAGTCAATGTCCAAATACTTGATGAGCACCTTCAGATGGTTAGCCTTGAGGGCAGCGGCCCGGCGGGCCTTCTTCTTCTTCTCCGTCTTGGCCTGTTGCTTCAGATCTTTCATGTACTGCCGGGTCTCCTCGAGGTACAGGAAGAGCATGTTCGGGTCGACCACGGCCGTTTCCTGCACGAGACTGACTCCCTTGACGCCGTCCATAATCTTGGACAGCGCATCGCGGAGATGTTTGCTCTTGATGTCGACGACAGTCTCCATGTATTTGTTCTCCCAGTCGAACTTGCGGCGCACCGTGAAGATGTACTGATCCCACTCATCCGCGTCCGGATCGTCGACCGTTTCTGTCAGCTTGAAGTTATGGATCGTGTTGTCCCATACTGGATAGCATCCGTTAGTGATAGGAGCGTGGAAAGGGAGGTGCGAGGAAGGGTATTGTGCACGTACATTGATCCACCCGCTTGAAGGCCATCTTCGACGCGGCCTTCTTCCGGCCTTTGGATCTCTGGAAGCTGCCTTTCTGGCCATCGGCCAGGCCGTCAGACGAGCCTCGCTTTCCGCGACCCTTGTGACGGCGCGTATCGGAGCGTTTGTTTCGCAACGTCGAGAGGCGCTCCTTGGCGAGCAAGAGCGCCGTCTCGTCGGAGTCGGTCGTGTCCTCGTCCTCATCCTCGTCCTCATCGTCCGACGAATCCTCCTGGGCACGAAGTTTCTTGGCCTTGCGTTTGACCTTGAGCCGGGCGATCAGCTTCCTGAGTGCTTTCTCATCGACGGCCGAATCCTCGTCGTCCGTTTCATCCGCGTCGCTTTCTGACTCCGATCGATATTTCTTCTTCCGGCTGGACCTGAGGTTCTTTTTGGCCCGTATCCGGGTCCTCCGTCGGCGGTTTTTCCGGTTCCCATCGGATTCAGACGAGCTGTCCGGCGAGTCCTCTTCCTCACTCGCTTCGGAGTCGTCGGAGGTCGGGCTGTCGGAGTCAGATGTGGAGTCCGACGAGCTATCCTCACTGGGCGTGTTGACGGCCTTGCGGGATTTTTTGTTCTTCCTGGCGGGGCGTTCTGTGTCCTTGGTGGGATGCTTCTTACACTGGGTTTTCGTTGGGGTGCCGTCGGCTACGGAGACGGTGGTGGTCGTGTCGGTCTTGCCGGGGGTGGTGCTGGGGGTGGAGTTGTCGGCGGACGGGTCGGTATCGTGCCTGGTAGTGGCATCGGTGGAGGGGGTGGGATCCGCCATGGTCGGGTCCCGCTGTGGAGCCTCGGAAGGTGGTGTGACTGTCGGGGTCAGGAACGGGCCTGTTCCGTTAGCGCTGGGGTCCGTTGGCGGGCCGGTAGTCGATCTGGGGTTGGGGTCAGAAGAAGACATAGTGAGAAGTGCAGAAGGTGAGAAAGAGAGGAGGAGATGACAGCGGGGGGAGGGAAGGGAGGCAGAAGCAGACGAAACGGACAAGAGAAAGGAAGAGGATAGGCGACGACAGGGTATTTATGACAACGAGGGTAAGAGAGATCGTGGAGAAAAGGTCAGAATTAGGCACAGTAAGACATGGAACGACAAAAGAACAGAGTGAGGCGACGACGGCATACTCTTAGGGCCAGCAATCCCAGGCTAGTTAATTAGGAGAGTTGGCGCCTTGCTTGAAGCCGCCTCGCAGATTGGCTGGGGAGCGCTTTCTCTCTGGGATGGCGGTGAGTTAGGTAGGAGTGAGCTGTAGGATGATGAGATAGGGAGAAAACAATGAGACCGCGTGAAAAAGAGCAGTCGCAATCAAGAGAGAGGTCAAAGGGAGACCAGAGCAAACAGGTTCGCAGAGGAAGAAAGAGGAAAGACAACGGAGGATTGTCGATATACTTATAAAACACACAAGGCTACCGAACCATCTCCATTGATGACTACAGGCGGGAGAAGGAAGAAGAAAGAGCTGAATACGGCGCATGTGGTTTGCCTGCGACCATTCAAAGACAGCCTTCCCTCCGTTCGCTCCATCCAGGTCCAATCAGACGGTCATGGAATGGAAAGGCTATGACCTGAACCAGGCGACCTGACTACAGCACTTCCAGGAGTGCACGGGGGTTGAATTCCTGGATCAATGAGAAGCCAGACCAGGGCATCCCCCGCGACTTCTGCCTTCTGCATGCACAGCTCCCTGGGACATGCCGGCCAATTGGAGGGACCAGGCGGCAGTTCGCTGAATGATGATCTTTTTTTGTTCTTGAACAGGCTGCACAGGCAGACACACGGACAGCCCAGTAGCCTGGTTGACTCAACACCCATTTAGCCCATTCGAAGGGGGGAAAGCGCTGAAAGTTGAGAGCTGCGCCAGTGGGTCGGATGCCTGATACGGTGACTCCCAATCAATCCAGCCGCCAGGATTGACTCACCATCTTCTGAAGGGTCTGTTTCTGGTCACCGACATTTGGAGCCCCTTCAGCCCAAACCAAGCGTCATGACGCATACAGGCAGAAATCCCGACCCCCGCAGATCAGAAGGCTACCCGAAGGACTAGACCGGGCTCCAGTGCCGATCCTTTTTGTCACACCAGAATCGAGGATCTCCGTTCCACGTATGGACGTATTGTCCCGGATTCCAGTTCGTGCAGCTTAGTCAATCTATTGTATTTATAGATTTGGCATGTGTGTCTGAAGTAGTGAGGCCATTTTTCAGTACGAGATAAGAATCAGTAAGGGGAAGAGAAGTGAGAGGAAGATAATACCGGAAGGATAGGATTCGGAGATAGTATACCAGGGGGTCAAAAGTGGACCAGGGATCCTGGCCAGACAATGGATGTTTGCAGCATATCGAGCTGACGAGAGCTGTGGCGTGTTGGATCCCTGTATTTGAGATTGGACTGAAGATTGACTTCAAGAAGTGAGTGAAAGTGAGAAGAGAAAAGAGCGAGGCCAACAAGAAGTAGTAACGTGATCTGTACACCAGATATTCACTGACCTCACTGACCTCAGTAACCTCAACATATCTGTCTATACACTCAACTCTTGCTCAGATCTAATATACACTACTCAGTACTACATATTCATGTTGTCAGTCTGGCCATATTCAACCACTTCAATGGACCAAGACACAGAAGATGAGTCTGGATGAGAACATCACCACAGACATGATATTCACTTCCGGTTCGTGTATAGCGTCACGCGGAGCCTACTCAATAGGCAATTTTTCCGTAGAATCCGTCATGGCATTCTCCGCAGCAACGGCAGATAGCAACAGCTGGAGTCAGAACAATAACCATCCTGACTGATTCTTCTTTAACACCTCTCACACCCTGCAGAGAGTATCTACCTACTCTCATACCAATCTCTTCATGCCATCCAACCTTCACAATCTCCATCAAACAAGCACTATCAATGACCTTGAGCGCAGAGAACACCACCCCCGCATACATCACAGAAGAACACACTTCCAACTTCACTCCCATCAACACCAAACAAATTACATCCCCAACAATGGAGGTAAGTCCCCATCACCACTCCCATCCATCTACCCCCAAACCAAACCACAAAACAACCTAACGAACACACAACTAGTCCAAGAAAGAAATCCATAAAGCCAATACTCCCAAGGCTAGCACTCCCCAGAAGCGCACCCATACTCCCAAGACCCAAACCGGTCAGGACGAAGCCCAAACCAACGAAACCACCCCCAACACCCCCACCAAAAAACCCAAGACAATCCCCACCAAAGCAATCCTGACCAAAGCCAACAACATCTCCCCCATCAAGAAAGCCCTAGGTCCCATCCCCACCAGCCTGGAAGCAGCCAGCACCACCGACAAGGCCATCCTGCGCATGCGCGACGATGAAGGTCTCGGCTGGAAGGAGATCACGGCCGAGTGGTGCAAGTTGACCGGTGTGACTACTCCTGTTGGGATGTCGACGCTGCGTATGCGCTATCAGACTATGAAGGCGAATTTTGTGGGGTTCACTGCTGATGATGTATGTATTTATCTTCTTTTTTTTCTTTTCTTTCTTCTTTCTTGCGACTTTTGTCTGGAGAGACTGTTTAACGAAGAACATGTCAACTGTTGGCTAGGTCGAAGCGCTGGCTAACAAGAAGGCAGGAACTCCGCCTCTGCAAACACAAAAGACAAATCGAGCAGCGCTTCGAAACAGAGAAATGGTCTCGTATCGCCGACGCGATTGTCGCAGACGGAGGTGCCAAGTATGCGCCTGCGTCATTGCAGAAGAAGTTCAAGCAGCTGGAGAAGGGTGCTCCTGTTTCTACTCCTGCTCGTGTTGATGCTGACGACGCCACTGACAATGAATGATGGGTGATGTATGTTGAAAAGACAAATGCGCAATGCGTTTGATTCTATTCTACCTTATCTTCATTGATCTGGATGGAATGAATCATTGGGTGTGTTTCTGGGCTTAGGACATCATACTACTGCGGGTGATGTTTGGGGGTTTGTTTCTTTCTTTCTGATTTTGTTTTACTTTTGTTTTATTTGGCTCCTAGCTGAGGATGTCATTTCGGATGTTGTTGGAGGGTTTCTTCCTTTCTTTTGTTTTACTTTGCTTTCCTTCGCGTTTGCCCTTCTATGAAACTGCCCAGATTTATATCACCACATCAAGATCAAACAGCGCAACTACAATGCCAGAACCAGCACTACATAGCAGAATCCAATGCAATACAAAGCCCCCCAAAGGCATCCCAATATGGAAAAATAGATCCCTGAATTTCTACATCAGAGTCAGACAGAAAAGACAAAACAAGCTAGCTAGTACCATAGAACCCATCCCGAAACCCACCAGTACCACAGTAAGTCCCACTCAAACAAACCACGCCGAGGTATCTATTTTGTACCAGACAAAACGAACAGAACAAAACAACCCTAAGAAGATATACCCATTCCATCAAACCAAGCCAATAGACATAAACAAACCAACAAAACTTCATGAAAAGACAACAAAAAAAAAAGTAAGTTATAAAACGCTTATCTCCTGGCGCCACTCATACTCCGCACTCCCACGGCCCACATCCGTAGCCGTCCGTTCGCTGTCCGTTCGCATAACCGGGACAGGGCGGATCTTGGCGCCGACGAAGCCGCGTCGATCGCGGCCGGTGCGGCCGCGGCCGAGCCAGTTGTGCTTGAGGGCTTTGCTGAGAAGTTCGATGTTTTCCTGCGGCTCGTCGCCGGTTTGTACGCTGGCGAGCACGCTGACGCACTGGAGCATGCGGCCGACGGTCTCGGTGATCATCTGGGAGGTGTCTGCCGCGGTGGACGAGCGGTGGATGATTGTGGGGCGCTGCGGCGGGGACGAGAAGGACTGGAAGATGAGCTGATCTGGGTTGGATGGGGTGTTGGAGGCGGCACGGCTGCGGCTGCTGGTGGTGTTCATTGGGTCTGAGGAGTAGCTGGCGGCCGTGTTGAGGAAGGCCGATGACTGTGACGACCCGAAGCTGGCGTTGGCGGCGTCTAAGGACGCGGCAGTGCCGGGCCGGCCGCTGCTGGCGCTGCTGCTCTTGGTGGTGACGCTGGGGGTGGAGTGGCCCAGGTTGATGTTGTCGAGGCTTAGCCGCGAGAAGGTGGCCTTAAGACCCTCGTAGCGGTATAGGATGACCATGTCGCGAAAGGCGATCAACACGAGGTTGCGCACCTCCAGCTCGCAGCCGGGGTATTCGCCTTCGAGGGCGGTGCTCCAGAAGTCGCTGGCCTCGCGGTGGTTCATCACTGAGCCGCAGCCCTTGAACTCGAGGTCGAGGGGCAGGAAGACGGCCTGGATGAAGGGCAGGATGGTGCCGAAGACCAGCATCCAAATGTGGACGAGATGCGGGACCAGCTTCTCATCCGGCACGCCGTTCAGCGTGTGGTTTAGTGTGGCAAAGCCCGTCTCCAGGAGCTCGCGCAAATCGTCGACGATGGCGGTTGGCGTGCGCTTTTGCACGCAGCGCTGAATGTGGATCAGGACCAGCTTGTTGAGGTCCTCGATCGCGATGCGCACGTCTTCCCCGTCGAAGATGACGAGGAGCTTCGCCTTGAGGAAGTCCCACGCATCTTCCGGGGTCATGTTGTTCAGACCGAACCCCTGCAGTGTCTCGCGCAATGCGACCTCCGGGAGCAACCCCGTGGAGTTGCCGAGCGTGGATGACCCGGGGAAAACGCCCGGTGTGCCCCCATTGACTACAGAATTAGCGATCGTTTCTTCCTGGCTAGATTCGGCCAGCGCCTTCTCCTCCTTCTTCTTTTCCCGCAGGGCGCGTCCGCCGTGCAGGAGGTCGAGCCCGCTCACCGACTTACCAAACGTCGTCGACACCACGCCGGGGGATGCAGGTGTGAAAGAGTAGAGCGACTGCGGGGCGTTGGGATCCGCCGGTCGCGAGTTACTGGCTGCGGACGACAGCGGCAGGTTGTGGTCGTTGTCTCGGTCCTTCAGCTTCAACTTCTGCCGGGACAGGAAATGATGATGTTTGTGCGACTTGTCCTTATCTTTCTCCTTGTCCTTGTCCTTGTCCTTCTCGGTCCCCGAGGGCTTCTCCGCCGGCACCACGGTCGTCGACGACGTATTGTTCAAGTTGTACATGGACATGTTGCTACTTGAGGGAAACGTATCGGCCAGGGTGGGAGTCGTACCGCTGACGATGCGGGACAGCCCACTACCGCCCGCGAACCCCATCTTGCTCGGCGACGGCAAACCTCGATCTTTACCCCCCGGATCCTTCTCGCGACTAATCCCAATATGTTTTGGTTTGGAGAACAGCTTCATCTTCGACTTCTCCTTGCTCTGCTTAGGTTCGCGCTCGGGGGGACCCGATTCCATCCCCGGCGGCTGCAGACCCCCCTGTCGCGGGAACACCACATTCGCCGCGGTGGTCGCTACATGACCATGGCCGCCCGCTGCGGCGCCGGTTTGATTCGTAGTGGGGAAGTACGAGCCCCCCGTGCCCGGAGCGGCCAGTGGTGGCGGAGGGGTCGGGGGCATCGTCGGCGAGGTGCTGCCGCCTCGCCAGGACCGGGGGCCGTTGTCTTCAGAACTGCGGTGGATGAAGGTCTGGGGTCGTTTCGGGGGATGTTGCGCGGGCGGTTGATGCGGTGGCTGTTGTTGCTGCTGCAACATAGCGGCCTGCGCGGCGATCCGCGAGGCTGACAGGCTGGCATCGGGGACGGACGCGGTGGGAAGGGAGGGCTCGAAGAAGCCTTGCGAATGATGACGCGAGCGGTGCTTATGCGGCTCCGGCGGACCACTGCGACCGGACGGCCTTCGCGAGGAGAGATCATTGTGCGGCATGAAGGAGGAGGATGGCTGTCTGGCGTTCGAGGCGACTGAGGAGGTGCGAGGAAGACGAGGAGAGGGTGGTGCTTGATTCACGGTTGGTAAGTTGAGGGGTTGTGGAATCGCCGAAACCGCGGTCACATTGGAGTCTGACGAGGCATCACTTCCCGAGGAGCCAGGTCGATCTAGATCGTCATCGAAGGATTTCCGGGGAGGGGAGAAAGAAGACGGGGGAGGGGCGGGGGAGCGAGAGGAGACACGCTCCGGTGAGACGGGGGAGCGTAACATTGGAGTAGTAAGAGGGGGGGGGGCTGGATGGATGGAACGATGATGAGATAATGGAGGAGTAAGAACTAAAAAAAGGAAGACTAGGCTGGACGCGGCTAAAGAGGGGACGGACCAGCCCCCATGACGGTGAGAGGGTGGAAGCAGGTACTAAGTAAGGTGAGATATGTAGGTTAGTTGGTGGTAGATGAGATGGAAAAGAAGTTATTGGATGCAGTCAAGATGGCAAAAGTGAAGGTTGGGAAATGCAGGCTGCCTGAGGGATCAACAGTGCCTGGGGAGATCGTTAGTCTTTCTCTCTTGTCTCCTTGGGGGAAATGGCCCCGCCGATCTTTTCTTCCATCCCCGCCATCTCTTTCTTTCACAACATACTCTTTACAACACAGACAGCAAGGAAGAGAAACATAAAATACAATAACGAGCACTGTTACAACACACCGGTTTACCACGCCAAATCAATCAATACCGAAACAATGTCCACCCCCCTCCGCGCCGTCTACACCTCCCCGCAATCCACCCACTCCTTCCAACACACCATCACAGCGCCGCTCCCCCTCTCCGACACCCCGTCTCCAGAGAACGTCAAGACCAAAGTGGCATATCTGTCAGAACTGCGAAAGCTGGTCCCCGCCCTGCAAGACGACATGAACGTGTTCCTGACCGCGCAGATGGAGGAGGAGAAAAAGGCCGCCGAAGCCGAGGGTCGCAAGGTGTCGGACAAGGAGGCAAAGGAGGAGGAGACCTACGGCGAGGAGGTCGTGGAAGATGAGGAATGAGTTCGATGATTTCTACACGATACGATACGATACAGCGGGGATCGACTACGACTACGACCGCTGGTCTACGATGAAACGGGCCACGCACGATAGCGAGAACGATGTTAATATATATTAGATGAGAGAGTCCCGGGGTATCAAAGCAGAAGAACTCATGCGCCACTCCATGGCTGGGAATGCATCGATCGCGATCGTACAGAGGGTTGACACAGAAATAACGAAAAGAGAGAAAGAAAGAAACGATCAAAAAGAAAAGAAAAGAAGAGAAAAGGAAAAAAAAATATAACAAAAACCACAAGAATCGACGCCGTCCACAAATCCTATATTTCTATTCGCAATCGTCACGACGTGGAGGGAACACGCTTGGAGCAGCCATGGTGCACGACGGTATTACTGGGACAAGTCAGCAAGAACAATTCATCTTCATCCTTCACCGCATGACAAAAAAAAAAGAAGAAAGGGGAAAAAAAAGAAAAGAAAAATACATACTCAGGAAACACATCAATGACACTCCCCCCAATCCGCCGATGGCAGATCCCGCACACCCTCTCCTCGGTGATAGTGACATGCCGCGACCGCGACGACTTCACCCCAGAGCCCTCTCCCACCAACAACTGAGCCTGTGTTTTAACATTCTGCGCCTTTTGCAAGTTAGCCACGACACGAGTCTCGCTGAGAAACGAGGTCGCAGCGCGCATGCGACCACGGAAGTAAAACTCGAGGTCCTTTACGGGGAGCGTCTCAGGAATGAGGCCCAGTGCGGAGTTAGGAGGAAGCCGGGAGCCGTGTTTGGCGAGCACCTCAAGGGCTGGGCCATACCGCGGCTGATAGCCGTGGGGAGGGGTCAGATAGAGAGAGAGCAGGGTGAGGTAGATAGACGGTTTGTCCTCTGAATCGAGCGCGGCTCCGCATCGCGCGTGTGTATCCTCGACGGGCGTATCCTCCGACTTGTGGAGGTGGTTGCAGTACTCTTCTGCCTTGATGTAGTCTTCGAGTTTGAACACGTAGATCTCGAGCGCCTGGCGGTGCTGGCCCATCTTGCTGAATACGATAGCGCGGGCCTCGTAGAAATCCGGATCTAGACGAACCAAAGGTAAGCCATGGCACAAACCAAAAACAAAAGAGGAAAGAATGTAAAAAGGAAGGGCAAGCCAACTTACCCTCACGGTCCAAACGGTTCAAAATCTTCGCAGGCGAGTACTGCTGGCTGGTCTTCAGCATATCCAAGAACCTATCGCGCCACGAGTGGCGCTCACTCTCACTAGCGAACGGCCACTCGCCCGTCTTATCCTGTGTCAATCGATCCAGATACAGCACGAGCAACTTCTGATGCAAATCGGGCGTCATATCATTCAGCTCCGCAATAGCATGCTCCAGATACCGCACCGCCAAGCCCACATCAATAGTCCTCAGGAACTCAAAAACTTGATCGCGGGGCAGTGTCTCCGCGTTCTCCGTATCCGCGAGGAAGATCTCCATGCCGAGCGCGGGGTCCTCGCGCATAGGCCACTCCGCGAACTCAAGGATAAGGTCGATGTAGTCCGGTGGGAGGTTCTGCAGGTATCCGACTGTGCGCTTGGGGCCGTGGAGCTGGGGCGCGGTTTCGACTTCTGAGTCGGCCTGGCCGAACTTTTTGAGGAGCTCGAGGGCCTCGCGGTGGAGTTTTTTGCCGTAGAGGAAGTCGATGAGGTCGTTGTGGCGGCCTGTTTCTTCAAGGCGCTCCATTACTACTTCTGGGTCGCAGAAATTGGCGATGCGGAAGAGGGAGCCTGCGAGGGAGGGGGTCGCGAACATGTGGGCGCGGAAGAGGGTAGTGTCGACGAGTTTGGCCTTTTCGCGTAGGAGGTCGCCGAAGTCGTAGTCGCGGGTGTCTTTGGTTACGTCGAGGAGCTTCATGACCGAGTCGGTGAACTCGTCGTCGGCTGCGTTGGTGGGAGGGTCGATGATCTTGAGGGATCCGTCGGGGTTGAGAAACCGCTGGAACCGCCGCCTGACGTCGGCTAGGTAGCCCTGGAGCTCACGGACGGCAATCTTCAGATCTCTCCCCTGCAAGGGCTTGTCCTTCGCGTCTTCGGGCTTCCCACGGATACTGCCCGCATCGCTGCTGTCGTCCGCCCTCGAGCGGAGAAAGGATCTCATGGATGGAACATGGGTCAATGTCTTGACGACAGAACCGTCTTCTGACCCAGCGCCATCATGCTGGTGGTGATTCTCCTGAGACTTGGGCGGGCTTTCAGGCATGCCGTCCTCTGACTCGTCAGACTCCTCCGGGACAGAAGAGAGCTCTCCAGCGATGAGGCTAGGATACAGGCGGATGACAGTCTCAGGAGGCGCTGAAATCTCCGTGAACAGATCCAACGAGTCACGGTACTTGCGCGCTCCAAACAGCCCCTGTGCCTTTTCGAGTTTAATCTCGCGCAGGCGCCTTTCTTTATTGGTGAGGAGGGCATCTTCCAGCATATCAGCAAGACTGATAGCCTCGTCAAGGAAGTCCTTTTCCACGAGCGAGTCGATCTGCGTGTCATAGCTCAAGGCCTCCATCCGCCAAATAGTGCGGTCACTTCCGACCAGGAAGCCCTTCCCAGCGTGCGCCAGACTGATAGTTGGCTGAGGGATGTGCATGAAACTGGCGGAGGGCAACGGCACGGACTGCAGCAGCGACAAGGTCTCCGGGTTGCGGACCTCCAAAACGCCCTTGGACGAATCATGCAGAGCCAGCAGAAACGGATACGAATACCCGATATCCACCGGCGCATGGCTCCACGGAATCTGCCTGCGGCCCAGCGAGTTACCATCAACATCGACGAACTGCGTGTTGATATCCTTAGCCAGGAGCACCTGACCCTCACTCAGCCGCGTAGCCAGCGGCTTCGGCGCCGTGCCACCCATCCCGATATAGCTCATACTGACGACCCCAACGCCCGCCAACCGGCCAGTCTCCTGACCCCCAAGACCGCCAATACTCCCGGGGCCAACCAAATCGGTCACCTCGGCAGTCTCAATATCGACCAAGACAAAGCTCGAGCTGAGCCCGGCAACCAGCCTCGTCCCAGACACCCACGTCAGCGTCTTAATCCCACTAACAAGCGTCAACTCCGCGATATCCTTCTCGAGCTCCATATCGCGCCACGTCCAGAGCAGGATCTTCCTCTTCACAGCCACCACGAGCCGGGACACGATCGACGGCACGCCCGTCTCGGGATCATTCACGATATTTGACGTCACAGCGAAAGTAGACGCGCCTTTCGTACGGGCAAGCTGCTCCTGCAGCTCATACGTCTGCAGATCATGCACGGAGACATACCCGCCCGACAGCGAAACAAGCAGCTTAGCCTCCTTGATGAGCGCCAGCTGCTCGACCTTGTACCGCGAGAACTTCTCCAGCTCGCGCAGCAGGTCCGTCTGTTTCCTTTCCTTGCCAGCAATATCCCCATTTCTGTCCCCTCCTGCGGTTCCATCTTCGCTATGCGTGTGGTTGTGGTTGTGGGTGTGATTGTGGTTGGTGTTGGGACGGCTCCCATCCCCATCAAGAGCGTGATCCTCATATTCAACCTCATTAACCCGGTATATGCGCAAACTGCCATTATTCAAACCGACCAGAAGCCGATCTCCATAGGGGAGAACAGACTCAATGCGCGATTTATCTCGCGGTTTGAGCTCGACGAGCGGCCGAGCCGTGAAGGCTGATAACATGGCTTGGCGGCGAGCTGCTGGTTCCGCGGACGGGCGGCCACTGGGCGGTGTTGGGCGGTACAGGCGACGACGATAGTCATGTCCTGTTTATGTGAAAAGGCGGATGATTTGAGTGAAAATAATCCAGCTACAGGGCGCAGCCACTGGGGATATTGAGCATATTGTCCAGAGGGAGGAAGAGCCCTGTGCTGAGTAGTATTAAGTGGAGGAAAGTCGCCGAGTCGTAGTAGTGGAAGGTGACGGGGGAATTCGAACGATGACGGACTTTCCCGCCTCATGTGACTCGACTGCTGGTCCACTTGCTGCTTGGGTGGAGTCGACAAGTCACGTCCTTAAGCTACTACTTACCTACCTAATCAATTATTTGGTGGTATTGACTAATTATTGAGTGCAAATTTCAATGCTTGACTATTGTATTGCTAATGGTATCATTATTCAATGTATATTATCTATCGAGTAAACGGCCCGGTTCACCTCCCAAGAAAACAAACAACCGCGAGGTAGTAGTGATGCATGGATAAAAGTCTCCGACTCAACTCCATATCGATGGATCGGCTCTTCTCTATGTGGTACAAACAAGAACGCATGACGAGAAGATAAGACAAGGGCCATATGTGTAGGAAGAGGTTAAAGGTTGGGGTGCGGATTTATAGGTACCGAAACGAACTTTTTAGTAGCGCGCGAGTGCCCTCGTCGCCCGCGGATCATGATACAGAGGAGGGGAGAGGAGGGAGGGGATGAGATGCCATGAGGGAGAGGAAAGAGAGAGGCCCAGCCTACAGTAGGACAACATGGTTCCAGAACAGCGTATTTAAAAGGAGTGGGCGAATGCTTCAGGGTTTAACCTCCGTCGGGTAATCCTGGTGCTTCGCGGAGGTGCCCTTGGCCCGCCACGTCGACACGGCAGGGATGTCCGCCTTGAAACGCTGCTCCTCGGTGCCGTATGCGCGCGGAGTGAGCTTGATGAGCGTGTGGAGCGGCACCTCCATCCACGGGCTCTGCTCCTGGGGAACGTTGAGGAAGTAGGAGTAGATGCAGCGGAGGACGGCCTGGTGGGTGACGATCATGATGTTTTCGCTGCGTTCCAGCTCCATGATGATCGGCTCGAGGCGGATCACCACGTCGCGGTAGGATTCGCCGCCCCGGTACCGGTAGTTGTACTTGTCGTCGTCGCGCGCCGCAAAATCGTCGGGGTATTTCTGCGCGATCTGCTCGTAGGTGAGTCCGTCGCAGACACCTGAGTCCAACTCGTCGAGCGCTTTCCACTCTAGCTTCTCGAAGCCCGTCTCCGCCGTGAGGTGTCGGGCTGTCTGGATGGTCCGTCGTAGCGTGGAAGTCCAAATGACGATCTTGGTGTTGGGAGGTATCCCGGACTTCTTCATGAGACCGGGCAGCGCTTGCGCATACGCCTCCCCGCGGGGGGAGATATTCGAGTCACCGCCGATTTTCCCCGTCAGGTTATACTCCGATTCACCGTGCTGTTTCTGAGTTAGAACCACTTCTTTAAGTCCACCCCCGTTCCCCGAAAACTTACGCGCGATAACCAGATAGAGCGGGGTTTGATGTGCAGGTTCTGAATGTAGTACACCAGCCGACTCGACAGATAGTCCTTGATCTGGTTGATAATGACAGTAGACCCGACATTGATGAGCTTCACATAGGTATAACTCTTCTCATTATCATCAATGGTCTCGTAAACCTTCTCGTAATTGCGGATGCGGTTGCGGAAATCCAAAGCCGCCATCTCAGGGTCCTGCCCCTTGTAGTCCGGCGACGTGGTCTTCACCTCGAGGATGTTATTCATAATGAGGTCTTCCTCGTCGCAAATGGACTCGACGAATAGCGTCTCGATATTAGCTTTGGAGCAGCTCTCGTGAATCCAGCGTCGTCGGTCCCGCGTCGAATTAGTCGCGTCGAGAATCGACACCACGCCCTTGCCGGCATCGAACCACTGCAACATGTCCTCCATGGCGGACTCGGCCGCCGCGCGTCGCATCTTCTCACCCTCGCTGTTGTGCGGGTCGAAGAAGGTGGCGCTGGGCTGGGGGGTGTTGTTTCGTCGGTAGGATCCCACGTTGAACACTCGAGCTGGGATGCCGACCCAGGCTAGGTATCGCATTGCTTTCCCCGCGATAAGACTCTTGCCTCTCGCGGGCAGACCGACCATGACGACACATATTCTGCTGTCATCAGACTGGGGTGTGTTAGTTTATTTCCAGCGGTTCGATAGTGGGGTTGAAAGGCAAGTTGCAAGGCGGTTGAAAATGGGGTATGTACGAAGCGCAAAAACAACGAATGCTTGCTAATCCGACAATAGGTACACAAGCAATACCCTGCACACAAAACCAATGGGAACACAAACGGCAAGTCAACTTACACTAGCAAAGTAGCTCTTGTGGCCATTGCCCCTGCGGCTTAACGACGACATGCCGGGCAAATCCAATCAATCAATATCCAGGGGAAGAAAACCGATTCTTTGGCTCCAACAAGAGTCAGATCCCACCAACCTCGGCCAAAAAGAGACGAGTTTCCGGTGAAAGTAAGTAGAGGGTGTGTACAACGTTCTTGCGGTTTCAAGAACGATCGATCGGTATTTCAGTTGCGTGAGGGACTGTTCCTTTCCCGTGCCCCTATTTTTATCCGCCTTGTCGCAAAGCGTCTGATGATTCAGGAACGGGTAGAAGTATGATTAAGGTGGATAGAGTTCTTTTCCTGGTCGAAACGCCTTTTTTTGGATTTTTCCAACCCCGGTCTCGGTTTCGGTCGGGGAAAAAGGTGGAAAGGGACAGACAGATCCGGCTGGCCGTCTCACGAGAACAGGCGATTTGAAACAAGAAAAGATGTATGGAAGATAGTCACGATCATACAGAGCAGAAAAGGGAGTCGACAAAAAAAGAGGGTCCAACAGGTTCCTGGAGAGGAAAGGAGGATCAACCGATCTGGACAGAGAAAATTCCTTGAAGACCAGCAAAGTTTCAATGCGGTGAAGCCGGGTCAGACGTCATCCATGATGTTCGCGGGGCAAAGATAAGAAGTCGTTAAGTAAGTCGACCGGATGGATGGGCCGTTATATACCTCTTTAACTAGAATGAAAAATCGATGAAAAATAACGATTTCCACATCAGATGGTCTATCTTTAGAGACTTAATTAGACTAATGGAGGGGAAAAAAGTAAAGAAGATCAACCGATCGAGAATCTCCATCCATCCATTTCCCCCCAAGAGAATCCCATTGTAAAGGACACACCACGTGATGCGGATGTTTTCGTTTTCGTCGGCAAAAGCGCAGGCTGAAGGACCGACTTCTTCCGCGTTATTTTCTTCTCTTTCTGCGTCAACTGATTTGGGAATCCCGGTGGGCCCTTTTTCTTTTTTCCCTTTTTTTTTCATGGCGCGTGCTCTGGATTTACTATTTACGTACAGGATGGGATTCTAGACCAGCTGCCGGTGAGGATGATGGATTATTGGGAAATTATTGATCGAGTCATTTGACTCTGCTATCTAACTAGTACGTGTCTACGGAGTACAATGTCTTCGTGGAAGATCCTCTTAGAGTAACTCCGTTGCCCAATAGTCGTTTTGATATTTCAATGAGCCTTTATTCTTCTACCTTCTTGTCATTTATATGATCACCATTTTATTCAGGTCAATATACGGACTGCGAGGCTATTACTGTATATATTCTATCGCATATCATCCCATGATTATATTCGTAAAAAGTGCCATGGTTCAGGGTTGGCATTGTAAATGCCAACCTCAAAGGTGATACTAACCAATGACTATGTTGACTGGGCTGTAAACAATACGAACAAATCAACTTGACAGAGACGTGCAGCAGTCATATGCTGGTCCCTTTCCAGATGTCAATCTTATCCAGCGAGTAGGCCAGGCATCTAGGGTAGCAACCGATTATACAAAGTAATCCGCAACCACAACCAATCTCCAGCCAACAAAACGTGGAAAGAAAAATGATCAAATTAAGAATGATAGATCATCCCATTGCTTTTTATGTCTAGTGTCTAAAATTCGTGGATCATACCCATATCATGCTGTTTCCTCCAGTCACGTGAGCCCAACGCGCGCATCCTGCCCGAATCCGACGACAGGGTGCGGGCCGTCAGTCACGCAACTGTTTTCTATCTGGAGCCAAAATCTCTCGGTTGTTCAGGAGCCGTGTGCGTGTGCGGACGACAGCTTTTAGCTAGCTGGCTGGCTGGCTGGCATAATCTTGTCCAGACCAGCACATACACGACGTCAAGCTCCTGTCACGATCATGTCGTAAACCCCCGCGGGTTGCCCCGCATCGGGTGATCCATCCAGAGTTTCCTGGCCGAGTCCACAGGGGGAAAGGGGGGGTGGTGGGGGGAGGGGGAAAAGGTGAATCAGGCCTCAGCAGGACCGTTGGAGGTGTCCCGAGAGGAACCCCACCGGGTCTTACGGTCGTCGGAGTTAGAGGTGGAGGTCTCGCCACGAGCGCGCTGCACGCGCACGTTGCCGCCCCAGGGTCCTTCCTTGCCGTTCAGCGCATCCATGGCGGCCTGTGCCTCTTCCACGCTGCTGAAGTCGACGAACAGGTAGTAGTGGTCGCCGGCTTCGAATCGCTTGGCTGGGTGGGGAGCGAACAGCTTGCTGACGTTTTGGCTGTGATGAGAGGTATCAGTATGTGGTTGGTTTTGACTGGTGTGAAATGAACATACACATCATAGCCCTGGAAAAATTGGGTCATGTTGCTGCTGATCTCCTCGGCATCCGTCAACCGGGGGAGTCCGCCGACGTAGAGACGACGGCTGGAATCGCTGTTGGTCCGGGTGAGGGCAGGGGCAGGGATAGGAGCGGGGGCATCGCCGCCGCGGCGCCACTGGTCGACGCTGAAGGGCGCATTTCGGTTCGGACGGGGCGATCCATCGCCCTGTTGCTGCTGCTGCTGCTGCTGTGACCGCTCGCTGGCGGACTTGACCACGCCGGGGCGGATCTTAACCGGACGTCCGAGCATGTCACTGCCGTCCAGCTCGACCATAGCCTTGTCCGCGATCTCCTTGGACTCGAGATCAACGAAGCAGTACGAGGGGTTCCGGCCGGTAAAGGGATCAACAGCGATATCGATCCGCTCGCTAAAACAGCACATCAGTTGTGCCCTTCCAAGAAGATACCATGTCCAATGCATACATCGCAAACTCAGCCGCCGTGAACAGCGCCTTCACATCCTCCGTCTTAGCCGTGTAAGGCATATTGCCGACATACAGGCGTCGTCCCTCATTGATGATCTGCGGCACGCGCGGACTCGGGCGACTGAACGCCGTGCGCGACGTGGTGGTCTTGGGACCAGGGGACCCGGCACCGCTGGGGCTCTCCTCACCCTTCATGCGCCAGTTGGGGGAGTCAAAGGCGCGGCCGGTGGTTCGGACGCCATTCTGCGAGAAGGACTTGACGGGGGCTGGGGCAGGACCTTATTAGTATGGAGAAAACAAAAGAAAACCCCCGTCCATGGGATAATTGTGGATTAGGCCCGGACGAGCAGCACCACGATGGGATATTTCCTCCTACACACTTTGTTCCTGGGGTTGCGGACTCTCGGGAGCGTCGACCATTGTGACTGATAGTCTGATATAGACTGATATAGACCGGAAGTAGACAGAGGAAGGAGGAAAAATGGCAGGATCTGCATCATGCGGTATTAGCAATGGCTCAAACTCAACTTGGAGATCTCTCCTAGTTCAACAATAGTAGGCAAAAAAGCGACAGACGAAGCCCTCGCGACCCAAGCAAGTAAAAAGTATACATACCTGAACTCAACCCTACAAGATAGTAGAATAGATAAGAAAAAAATGTGTCCTTCCCAACCGATCGACAAAAAAAATAGAGGAAAAAAGGAAGAGACAAGCTAAAACTATCGGACCCCAAACAAATAGTTCAAATCTTGAATAAAATTAGCCACTCTAAAGATCAAAGACTCTCTCTCCCATACTATCTTTTCCGGCGCGTCCCAAAAATTCCTTTTTTTTTTTTTGGAATGTAACAAACAGGACAAACCAGACAAACGGACCCGTTTCTGCTCCATAGTGTGATTTCAATTGGCTCGTTAGCGAATCTCAATCTTTCAACCTTAACTAGTTTCCTTTTTTTTTTTTTTCCTCTTAGTTAAATAGCTCGACATCCGCGCTGTTTTCTTCATCCTTTTTCTTGCGTTCTTCCTTTTACCTCGAATTAGCCAACCCGAGTGGTGGACGAGATCGTGTCATTTTATGTTGTGGCACTTTGCTCATAGGTACCTTATTTGCTAGCATTATCCTATCAAGGATTTTCTGCTTCAGCAGAGTCTCAGCGTAGTGGAGGAAAAATGGAGGAAGAATCACATGATTGAATATTGAATATTCTATCTACACTTCTATGATGATGATTGATTTCACACAGACCTGTTCCGATTATACCATGCGGACATACAATCAATGTTCAACTGCTATCTGAGAAGTGTCCCCTGCCCTGCAATATTATATATAGAAACAAATTTTATATGGAAGACAACAATTGAGATTACTTGAACATAGGAACCAAATGTGCCAATTACTTAGATACTTAACTATGATAAAAATCAGACATCCAGCCATACCGTACCAGACTACTTACCCGCTACACTCGAGTAGCCAATGAGCCATGTCATTAGCACAATCACGCATTATATCCCGCGTCCGTGGGCACAGCATGTGTGTCCGCCCGCTCGTACAACACTTCCGCCCGGACGCGCTGCCGCAGGATATACCGCTTGATGAAGTACGCGATCTGCCGGAGTCCGTACTGAGCGTGTAGGCGCGTCGGCACGGAGAAGATCTGGTCCAGTTCTTCCAGGGTTCGTCCTTTCGTCTCCGGCATGAACAGGAGGATGGCGAACCAGCCGACGATATTCCACGCGCCGTAGAACGAAAAGGCACCCTGGGACTTGAACGAAGACTGCAGGGATGGCCAGGAGACGGCGAGGATGAAGTTGAACAGCCAGGTGGTCGCGGTCGCCAGGGCCATGCCGTACGAACGCACGTACAGTGGGTATGCTTCGGCGGAGTAGGTGAAGGGGACGGGCCCTTCGCCTGTCGAGTAGACGGCGCAGAAGAGGTAGCTGCCCAGGGCGATACAGGCGAGACGCGCGTGAGTGCTGGTCTCTGGGATGGAGTGGCTCCAGCCGATGAAGAACATGAAGGCCGCCATCAGCGGGAATGTTGCCAGGAGCAGGTTGCGCCGTCCGAACGTGTCGATGGTGTAGACGGCTGGGATGGCAAATAGCCAGTTGATCACACCCCAGCCGAACGATGCGACCAACGCGGTTCGGATATGGACGTCGCCGAGCTTCACGAAGATCTGCGTGGAGTAATAGGCGAGGACATTAACGCCTAGATGGGTGGTGGGTTAGTACCTAGTGCGCTCTACTGGACGACATGAGAAAACCTACCACAGAACTATACAAGTTGTCAGCGCGCGCCATTCAGCATTGACAGAGTCAAGGGGATGTATGTACCTGTTGTAAGAACATGACCAACTCGGACGCAATCAGAGCCCGTCGGTTGCGCGGCACGGTGATCAGCTCCAGCATTTTGTTCCGACCCAGCTTCATCGAACTCTCCGCCTGCAGCAAGGTATACATGTAGTACATGTCCCGAGCCGCCTGGACCTTGTTGAAACGCAGCCGACACATGGAATGGTACGCCTTGTCGTATCGATCGCGCTGCATGTACCAACGCGGGGATTCGGGGCAACGAAAGACAAAGCAGCAGACCACGATCGCCGGAAGCATTGCTGATCCCATCATCAAGCGCCACTGAAGCCCGACGATGCCCGCAGGGTCCTTGATATCGTAAAAGATCAGGTCTGCCGCATAGCCCAGCATGATGCCGAACGCGGTCCACATCTGCCACTGCATCACCAAGGCGCCGCGGATCGCGGGAGGGGCGGTCTCCGCCGCGTATACCGGGACGGTGGCCGACTTGGGACCGATGCCAAAGCCCAGGGCGAACCGGGCGATGAACATATGCCACCAGGTGTTGACAAACCCCTGCCAGAAGCAGGTGATGGCCGAGATGCAGCAGGTGATGAAAATTGTCCCGCGACGTCCGAACCAGGCGTTGAAAGGAACCGTGAGCCAGCAGCTGATCGCTGCGCAGCATAAATACGGGGCTGCGTTTACCAGGCCGGTCAGCCAGTCGGATGTGCGGTCCCCCTCCTTCAGACCAAATTGTAGCTTGTAGAACAATTGAGCGCCGTTGACCACCGTCTCGTCTAAAAGTAAAGGGTATCAGTCATGGGTCTCGAAAGCAACTGCATGACTACGCGATGGGCAGAAGGCGACCAACCCATTCCTTGCACAGCGGCTGAGACAGAGCAGAGCGCAACGACGAGATACATGGTCCATGGCTGGGACCACCGGTGTGCGAATTCATTCTGCAGCACCTCCAATTCCTCGGGCTTTAAGCCGGGCACCGTGGCAAACTTGTCGGGTGTCTGCGCCAGCATGGCACCGATACCAAAGGCCCGTATGTCCTCTTCGTCACCCAAGCAGTGCTTGATTGCGAAGTTGACACCCTGTTTTCGCAGTTCTTCCTGAGTATATCCTGCAAGAGGGTTGGCCAGTTTCGCGTTCAAATTGCGCCGTGCATGCTCTGCCGCGTTTCCCGGAAGGCGGGGAGAGATGGTGGTCTCTTTGCGAAGGGTTTCAAATTCAATATCCCTCCCATGGTGTTCAACGATACGGTCCCCAAATGTACCGGTCTCATTCCTTCGAGGCATCTGGGCGACGTATTGGAGCAGTTGTCGAGGCTCTGCTTCGAATCCGGGGATTGAAGCTGCTCCTAGGGAATCTGTAAATGATATTGAATTTGTTTTTAGCTAGGACAGGCCGAGAGCATAAAAAGCGAAGAGGGGGGTTTTGGGGCGGCAGAAGAGGACATGGAACAGGAAAGGGGGCTGTGAGCAACAAAAGGTGCAGTCAAGCAGCCTGATACTCAAGTCGTACTTGCAGATCAACAAAGAGAACCAGGGATGCGACAAAGAGATCAGGGTCGCGTTACCTTCGACCAAGAGAAGTTTTCAAAACAAAGAACTATCAGCCCATGTAACCTTGGATCTGGACTCTTTCCGAGAGAGAAAAGAGAAGAAGAGGAGACTCCATGGTCGAGTCCGAAGTTCTGAGGGGAAAGTACTCAGACGAGGCGCTCTCGATCGCATCCTTGGGGGAAGGCGTATACAGTCTGGGCTGACGTGTGAGCCACCAGGCTGCGCCAGAATATCGCCCTTCCACACGTGCCTACAGTATCTTGTCGTTTGCCCAGAACATGGGTCAGCGGTTGGCTTGCTGACTTCCGACCTGGTGGTGATTGGATGCCTGCTACTAAAAACATCATATCCGTGCGTATATGTGAAGACAAAGATAGTAACGCTCTTCGTATTCGATCCAATGATGATATTGCCGGGCGCAATTAGAGGGACTTGGCCGGGGTGCATCTGACAGCGCGGGCTGAGACAGGGGACATTGTTTCCTTCTTGTTTGTTTTAGTTTTCGCTGAGGACAATCCAACGAGGACCATCATCAGCATGGATGGGTACCAAAAGGGAAAACGGGGAGATTGCAGGTTTGACAGTGTCGCATCCCAATAGTCCAATTGCAGGGAATGATGATTGGGAGAAGAAGGAGGTTCATGGAATTGAAACAATCTGAGCAGAAGCGGCCCCAGCTCACGGGACTGTTGCCCCAGGCATCACATATCTACTAGACGCTGTCTGCCATGGATCGTCTATCCCAAGGCGCTGTTCGGGGGTTTGTTGATCTGATGGTGTCATCATGGAGATGTCTTAGACTCGATTCGGCCACTCTTTGAATCACATCCTGGGCATCGAATGATCTTGCCGACCGTATGGAATATATACTCTACTTATCACCACTATAGATGCATTGATACAGTAGTGAGGCATGCATATTGAGTATCCATGCAAGCAGAGCCTAACACCCGGGGAATTTATCCACAACGCCCTGCCTATCCAGATCACTGGTGCACAACATGCCTTCCACGAGAACAGATCGCATCGCTTATCAGCGGCGCGTGGGCAACAATGCGGGGAGATCTACAGCCCCATCGGATCGGATGCCTTCCGTCCGTCGGATCCGGCCCCGCATTCTTGTATACTTTGGACAAGACAGTCACTTGCTTTGAGGGACATGGTATATACACGGTGTGATTTAAATCTTTACAAGAACCTTGGTGCTATGGTGTCTTGTATCTGTATCTAGTTGTATTAGAGTTGGTTATAGAAGAGATCATAACTAGGACGCTGGCCGGATATCGCAGGGAGAAATCCGTGTCCGTGACGTACTCCGCACGCTGCAGCCGTCGGAACAGGATCACTGGTCCGTCCTGATCCGTGTCAAATGATATAAAGCGCCGGTTGTTCTTGCATGCTCCAGGGTGTCTTCCTAATACTCAAACCCATCATATCCTCCCAATATACCCAAAAGTATATCCCTCAACGGGCTTGAAAATACTCCACACCTGTATCTAACACACACGACAATGCTTGGAAAGATTGCTCTTGAAGAAGCCTTCGCGCTTCCACGATTTGAAGAAAAGACCCGATGGTGGGCTGGCCTGTTCTCCACCGACGTGGACACACATGTGCGTGAGATCAACGATATCAACAAGATACGCATTCAGCATGCAGACAAGCACGGCGTCGGCTACCAGATCCTATCCTACACGGCACCAGGAGTCCAAGACATCTGGGACCCCGCCGATGCACACGCCCTGGCTGTTGAGATCAACGACTACATTGCTGAGCAAGTCAGCGCGAACCCTGACCGCTTGGGCGCATTCGCGTATGGCCTCTCCATCCAAGACGTCCCCCCGCCTAGCTATACTAACACAGCCCAAACCCATATAGTACCCTCTCCATGCACGACCCCCAACAAGCAGCAACCGAGCTGCGTCGCTGTGTCGAGAAATACGGCTTCAAAGGCGTCTTGGTCAACGACACACAACGCGCCGGCCCCGACGGGGACGACATGATCTTCTACGACAACGCCAAATGGGACATCTTCTGGCAGACCTGCACCGAGCTGGACGTGCCCCTCTATCTACACCCGCGCAACCCAACGGGCACAATCTACGACAAGCTCTGGGCCGACCGGAAGTGGCTCGTGGGTCCTCCGCTGAGCTTCGCGCAAGGCGTCAGCCTCCACGTCCTAGGCATGGTCACCAACGGAGTCTTCGACCGCCACCCCAAGCTGCAGATCATCATGGGTCATCTGGGCGAGCATGTCCCGTTCGACATGTGGCGCATCAACCACTGGTTCGAGGACCGCAAGAAGCTCCTGGGTCTGGCGGAGACGTGCAAGCGCACTATCCGCGAGTACTTCGCAGACAATATCTGGATCACTACCTCGGGGCACTTTTCTACTACGACGCTGAACTTCTGTATGGCGGAGGTGAGCGCCGACCGGATCTTGTTCTCGATCGATTATCCGTTTGAGACGTTTGCGGATGCGTGTGACTGGTTTGATGCTGCGGAGTTGAATACCGTTGATCGGTTGAAGATTGGGCGGGAGAATGCGAAGAAGTTGTTTAGGCTGGGGCCTTATAAGGATAGTTCTGCTTAGTCTAGTGTCTGCGGACTTTCCATGAGGATAGCTTTGTATAGTCATTCCTTGAATTCTAATCTATCATTAGATAAATATGTATATATCAAGGAATGTGAACCTTATAACCTACTCAGCACCAACCGATACATCCTCCTACAATATAATTTTGCAAGAGAAGAACGCATACTGTACATAGATTGCTTCAATCATATCTATGCCCATATCAACATTCTCTCTTGAATCTATCACGTCATCTATCGCATATGGGTCTACACCTCCGCAAGTCTAGAGCCAAACACATCCTCATCCCATACTGGGACATCAAACATACCAAGCCCGACCGAAGTGCCGACTCGGCACTTTCGTGCAGTGTCTGAGATACCACGATACTCTATCGTATCATTCGTCCTCCCCAGTAATTAGGGCGTCTGGTCAATTGTTTAGGTACACCTGATTGTCAGCCCGACCATCCATTTAATTCTGGGATCCGGCCAGAGACATGACCGGACCAGGTCTTGCAGTAGACTCTGGCTCAATGGCAGATTCCAAAGAAGTCGACTGAGTGACTGGAGTGCTCGGGGACTCTACAGGAGATCCACCAGCAGCAGCAACCGGCATCGTGGGCGGGCGGGCAGGCTTCCCCAGGCAGTGTGCCGGTTTCAATTGCAGGGTCATAGTAGAAATGTGCAATCGCATCTCCTATCCTTCCAATGACTATATAATGGTATTGATGATCTTTCTGAATATTTGTCGCGTAAGAAAGATCTCCTTTCTGTTCGTCCTGTTCAACTTCTAGCCACACCAGTCTCGGATTGAAAGTGAGAAGGTGCTGAAACCGAGAGAGAGGGTGTGTAGGTCCTGAACTGTTGGATTCGCTCGTCTAGCAGTGACGCACACCAACGTCGGTAAATGAATGACTACCTGCGATCGTTTGTGATTTAGTTAAGTACTAAGAAATGACAACTGCAGCGGATACCGGATTCACATCCACAGAATGCGGAAGCAATTCGATTTCCTGGACGCGCACCACACGTGGCTGCTTCTTCTCGTGATAGGAGCAAGTTATTTTGTAGGAGATGTTGGAGATATCAGTCAGTTCAAGCCCTTCCAAAGTGCCGGTATATTTAGTATCTGTTGGAAGATGAACGCGGCGCTGAGTTAGACCCGTAGACATCTTCCTCTTCTCATACCTATGAAGCGAGTATGTATATATGTCCTTGCGAGTAATGAGGGGCCAACTAGGGGATGGTGGACGGCTTAATCTGGGATGACAATTCCGTTGAGACCTTCGGTGGGCTTGAACATGATGGGAAAAGCCACGTGCTAAAATGTAGCGAAGGGGAAAAAATAGGAAGAAGCATGTTGTCTTTTGTCTGCTAATTTTTGGCTAATATATAGTTTTGCGTGTTATAAGAGAGAGGTGCCAACATAAGGACTGTCAAGGGAAACATGAGAAGTGGAAAGAAAAGAGAAAGAAATCTACAGTCTTTTCTATCGACTGATCAATAACTGACACATAGCTCTATGATTCATAACAGATAGGTGCCAACGTGGGGATTGTGAATGAAGACAAGGAAGTGATAACAAAGGAGGAAGTATACATCGTTCTATCTACCGATCACTGAGTAAAATACATGCACAAATGTACGTAGGGTCTATCGTGGGAAATATAGACAAGTGAGCAGAAAAGAGAATAAGCCGTGTATTCCTTTACCTGATGATATCCTAAATTACATTTTCAGTGCCACAAACGACAAGTGTTTCGTAGGGCCCGCAGCCTCTATGTACACTCCAGGAAACGGGGTTTTCCACATTGGGGTGGTCCAAACCAGCAAATGGGTCATTCCGTGCCTGCAGTTCCTGCAGTTCCTGCTGTCTCTGGGAGAGCTCGAGCTCGTCACGAGCATGGCGGCCTCCGAGCATCCGTTTGCTCCGGTTGAGGACGTAGTTCCACACCCTGGAACCAATGGGCACTTGGTTGGCCATGGGTATCAAGACTTCGAGGCGTATCCTGTCGTTGGACTCGGCGAGATTAAGGTAGTAGTCCCGGGTACCGTTGATGAAGTCGTAGATCTCCAATATGGTGCTCGTTACGGCAATGCGATCCGGGTCGGGTTCGGTCCCAGCCAGCATCTGGGCTATACGAAAAGTATAGAAATCGTCGTATAGCCACGCGAAGAAAAAATTGTAGAATACCTCGAACATTTGCAGCTCTATCGGCTGGACGAAGTAGAGTTTCCTGTTCCCGCAGGGTATCAGTCAGTCTTGATATGCTGTGACGCAGATTATGAGGAAGGAAACTTACTCGACGATCGTGTCTGCGACATTAACAAAGCGCCTTATGGGCGCGACGTTGTCCTCCCTCGATTTATATCCCACTTCCCGGACGAGGTCGTCAACGTTCTCCATCTCCCACTCCTGTCTCAGCATGACGAAGAGATTTTCGGCAAGCTGTCTCAGCCCAGCGAGCGAGGGGAGCAGTAAACGAATGTCGTCTGGGCGAAGGAAAGCATCGTAGTCCTTGCGAGGGGCCATCATGAAGCGGCGCAAGCAGATGTGGGAGACGGCCAGCGCATGAGTGCTCATTTGACTGTACAGATTTCTATGTCTGTACAGCGCCTGCGGGCTCTGTAGCAGCGTCCTCATTTCCTCCAGGAGACCCTGACGCTCATCGTCGGCACCTGGAATCGGGATGTAGGACATGATGTCAGTATCTGAGAGGTACTCCAGCTCAGACATATCTTCACCCAGCACCGAGTCCACTCTATTCTGGGATCTGGCCGGAGACACAATCGGATTGGTTTGCGGAGCTGACTCTGGCTCAGCGGCAGACCCCAGAGAACTCAAATGAGTGACTGAAATGCTCGAGGGCGCTACAGAGGATCCACCAGTAGAAGCCGCCGGGGTCTGAGGGTGGCCGTCAACTGGCCCAGACACCTGCTCAGGGGTGCTAGCTCTAGCAGCCTGACAACCCGACGTGGTGTCTGGATGAGCACAAGGATTTGCTTTCGTGAGCGGATTGGTGCTCGCGGTCGATTTACCTGGACCAATTGATGGCGATCCTGGCGGATCCCCGGGCCATTCTGATCCTACTTCACCCTGGCAAGTGTGGAGGTATTCTGCCTCCCGTTGGCGACTGTAGAACGACTCATGAGACAGGGCGTAGATATAGGCCACCTCAAGAGCTCCTTCGATGGCTGGTAAGTTTATCTCACACGCCTCGTCGTAATCTGGGAAAGGCTCTGTGCCGCTTTCCACGGTAGATCGTGGTTGTGGTTGAGAGGGTGACACCGGCTTAATCTCCAGAGGATGCGGAAGCAGGTCAATTTCCCGAACGCGCTCCACCGATGCGTTCTCATAGTTATGAGGAGCTATGCTCCCGGAAGGAGAAGTAGGAGCCGAGACAGACTCGTAGACGGCTCCTTCCTCCGTATCACGGCTATAGAGAGAGCGGATGGATGTGGCCTCAGCAGGATCATTGCCCGTCCGGCCATTTGTGGTATCAGGCCCGCGTCTTGATTGACGGGGGCTGTATGCACTGTACTTGGGATTTGTGTAGCTATCTGAATCGTTCTTCTCTACATCATCCCCAGAGTCATGGGAGGAGGATGGCTTTTTCATGACTTCCAGATTCATGATGATCGACGCTGGAATATGATGGATATAAAGCCTATTGACCAAAGATGTTCTTAGATAGAATTCGCGAGGTATACGATCGACAAGTTGACATAGAGCAATATATAGATGCAATATCAAAGCAAACAGGGAAGGATACAATAGATGATTGAAAAGAGGATGTGTGAAAGAGAGACAGAATCAGAAGGAGACTCGGGGGAAAGTAACTGTTCTCGAGCATTTGTCACTGAAGTCTATTCAGTACGATTTGTCGTAATGATTCCAGCATATTCACCGGAGTAGACTTCCTAGGCACTCGTCTCATTATCATGATGATCAATATCAAGCGTCATACTCCCAACAGCCTCAGGTCATCAAGATTAGGGCCAGAAACGATCATTCCAAAACTCAAACCATTGGACAACATATGGTAGGTATGCTTATGAACTATGGTTCACTGGTATGTCAGGTCATTGTCATATCAATATAAACATTACCCTATCAGCGGAACACACAAGCATATCGACCCCTTTGGGAAGTATCACCCTCAGGCACCATTCTTGGGATCCATGATGATCTTCAGAAGAGCCTGGCAATTGGGATTCTTTGCCCAAGGGTCCATCTTCTTCTGGAGGCCCTTTGCAACAACGTTAACCGTAGTCGATTGGTTGCCATAGACCGGCCATTCTCCATCGTCCCTGCCGTGGAAGAAGTCTAGCGTCCTGGCTTGAACCTCCGTGGCCAGAGACACGTCTTTCACAGGGGTAGTCTTCTGATCCACGAAGAAGATATCTACAGCAGTCAGTTATTCACCAATGAACCCAAAACAGATCTGGCAAATCAATTTACAGTTCAAATCCAGACTATGCACCGCGGGCGGCACACTGAACACATATCGCTGCGTCTTGCTCGCATACGCCTTCGCCAGACCCTGGGAATTGCACCCATACACAACATCCGTCGTCCAGTCGTTTGCCACGTCCTGGATCTTCGAGTCCGGTTGAGAGTACAAGTCACGAATTCGCTGGATAGTCTCTTCATTTGCGTCTGGGATAGTTCGCCGCACGAATTCAGCGAACCCAGCGGGCTTCTTGATCTCTGGTGTTGTTTCCAGTCCCTTGTCAGCCATATTTCCCGCAATATAGCCTCCACGCGCGGGTTAACGCGTCCCTGGCTGAACAGCACCGTCAACACATCTGGGATGTACTCCCCATCTGGGATTGGGCCGAACCTGATCCCCGGGCCGAAGGTCGCACCACCAGAGCCGCCGACGACCTCGGTGAGGAGGTGCTTGTTGGCGGTGGTAAGGGTGTTAGCTGGAGCGTCGCGCAGACACTCGACTGATTTGCACTTGGTTGCCTTGAGGACCTCCTTGAATAGACTGGCACGGCGGCTTGTAACATCTCTGCGGGGTGACATAGCGGGCGAGGAAATGAACGTCTGAGATGATTAGTATATTGTCATCTTCTCAACCAACAATCCTAAACACCTAAATACCACCCACCTTCTGGGAAGGCAGCTCTCCCTGGCCCCTATTTGCGACTAGCATCAACGTGACCATCGTCGCGCTCGTGTTCTGTCCCATGGCGGTGATATTGTCCGGATTGCTCCCAAAGCGCTTGATGTACTTTTTTATCCACTCTAGTGCCGTGACGCTGTCGTGCAGACCGACATTAATATCCATGTCCTGGCCCTCCGCTGATGATCACTCGTACAGCTCTATCCTGTACACACCGTCAGTGTTCTACACAAGACTTTATAAAACGTAACGGGCAGCCAACCGATAATTTATAGTCACATGGATAAACCGGTCGCTCGGGCTCTTAATGCGCTCCATCAGTGCCATTCTATCGACTAGTATGTTCTTACTTCCGGACGCGTACGCCGAGCCATACAGCTAATGAATAACTGGCGCGGTGTCAATCCCTGGATACACACCCTCAGGCACCAAGACATTCAAAAAGAGGCAGTCCTCCTGGCCCCACGTCGTCCTGTTCAGTTCGGAAACGAGCATCTCCCTCGGGGCGGAGTTGACGCAGTCCGACTTGAGGAGGTGGTTTCGGCCGTTGAGGACGCCAGGCTTGTGCGGCGGGGGCGTGCCGGGCTTGCGGAAGCGCCGATCACCGGTGGGAGGCTGCGCGAAGCGGATGTTGTTGTAGAGAAAGACTTTGGTCCCGGACGTGTGAGTGGCGTAGCCCAGGTCAACCTTGGGCGACGGGGTTTTCAGAGTATGACAGAGGAGGAGAAAAGACAGTATTAAGGAAGTCGTCAAAAGATGCTTCTTGGCAATATGGAGACAGGGTCTCATAAATCAACGTGCTCGAATTCGTTGTCGTAGTACGGGCTTGCAACGACGCTATATTCCTTGCGGACATGCTAACATATATATACATATATGACAAACCCTTTGGATGAGGTTCATCATCAAGAATACAAAAATAGGAAAAGAGACAAAGCACTCAATCAGCGCCACGACATGAACATTCGTATTAAACGACGATCAAATCAACGCATTTGCCTGACGTGTTGGAGTCAAGTGCCGATCGACCGACTGACAGATCGACAGGTAGCATTGAAGATGATTTGAGAATATGACATGTTTTCCTATCACCGCCTCAGAAAAGATATATGAAAGTTTTCTCCCGCCCGCCTCAGCCTTCCCGGCGCCCGCAGTGTGGGGACCGATCCCTGGACGCGATCAGCAAATACAGCTCTAGATATAGTTCTATTTTCCGAGCCTGGGGCGTGGATTCGCTGCGAGGTGTGTGACGAAGAGTGCTCGGCGGATGGAACAGATACTTATATTTGCTAGTACGCTTGTTCCATGAAACAATTAAATACTCGAGCATTACTGATTGAATATGAAGGTATAGATTAAATTATAAAAAATCTTTATTCAGCGAGGGAGAAGAATGGCTAGTTTTATGCATTAGGCACGTTTACGGGTTCATGCTTCGCTGATAGCCACGGGCGACAGCATTGGCATGTTGGAAAGCATCATAACTAAGGATACATCTGTAAACAAGCTGTACTAGATCCGTTGTTGAAGAAATAATTCCTCCGGACGCCACACCTTGGCAGGGTCTGTTCTGCAGCTGTGGCGAGACTCGCGTGACAGACTGCAGTGCTTTCTAATTGATGCTGAGTATGGCATTGGAGGGATTTGAAGGCCATGTCCGCAAGGCTTGATATTCTGTTTACATTCCCGGGAAAAGTGATGAAATTGATCCATCAATGGGATGTCATTTCTATATCCTACTTCACAACTACATAATAGAATGGGAAATATATACATCTCATTTCTAGACTATAAGATCCGCATCGCATCCCTACTGATAGACATTCCGCCCAGCGCAATTTATCTCAACCACACATCAAACATAAACCAGAAAGAATGTTGTCCCAATTAACCGCTCTCCTATTTATTCTCCCCGTCGGGCTCGCTTGCCTAGGCTACGAGGGGGGCATCCCCACCCCAACGGCACATCACTCAAACAGCGCCGTCATCGAGATCGCCGCCGGAGAGGTCTTCGATGCCGGGTGGGCTAAGTACGACCGTGGATCCGGCGCCTGCAAGGGGAGCACGGAGGGCGACTGGCGTGATGCCGTCTTCTATCTGCACTCGGGGGCGACGCTGCGGAATGCAATAATCGGGAAGGACCAAGCGGAGGGGGTGCATTGCGATGGAGCGTGCACTCTAGAATTTGTGTGGTTTGAGGATGTCTGTGAAGATGCCATCAGCATTGTATGTCGTACAACCATCTCCAACATTGACTCGTCACTATCCTGCGATGGAGACACGGCTGACTGGTCAAACCATGGTGATGGATATAGAAAAACGACAAAGCGGGCCAGGAAACGTGGATAATCGGAGGCGGTGCCTACCACGCCAGCGACAAGGTCGTGCAGCATAATGGTTGTGGAACAGTCAACGTGAGTTATATCTGTGTCTTTCCGGTCGAAGAAGAGCATGATCGTTGATGACGTCTCTGCCAGATCATCAATTTTTACGCCGAAGACTACGGTAAAGTTTACCGATCATGTGGTAATTGCAAAAGCCAATGCAAGCGGAATGTATATGTTGAAGGGACGACAGCCCGCGATGGGGGAGAGGTCGTTGGTATCAATGCCAACTACGGGGATACTGCGACGTTGAAGAACGTTTGCACTGATGCTAGTCATCCGTGCGTCATGTATGACGGGTGTGCCGGTGGATGCGAGCCTTCTAAGGTTGGGTATTGCTCTGGATAGGTGGTTCCGTTGGCATTAGGATGAAGGCGGGTGAACTTTGCGGAAAATGTAGCGATATTTTCGGACCAGTGGCTTCTGATACCATTCGTAACAACCCGCGTTAGGGCTCCCTGTCACTCTTTAAACCCATTACCTAGGCTTTATAATATTGATCTTCCCCCTATCCCACCTTTGATAGCTAGCACCAAACAGCACTACTAGGAGACTTGTGGATAATACTAAGAAGATAGATTCCTGTACATGTTCTCCAAGAGGTACTCTCATGTCTCCCGTTCTATGCAGGGACTCTCTCCAACCAGAAGTGAAGCAACAGTTACTTGATAATGTAGGTGTTGTGAAATGAGATCACAATTCTCTTTACTATGTTGCTAGTAATATACGACACTACACTACGAACGGCAGGTACCGCTCCACCACCGACCTCCACCTGGACCGACTAAGTCACTGTCACTCGCGGAGTGGGTAGCCTGTGATCATGTCCCGGGGTGTTACTGTGGAGACCGTATACAACTACCATTGTGGCAAGGGTAATATAAGATGATGTTTCTGTAAATTAAAAAATTTTGGCGAAAGAAAAGGTGTTAATGTTTCTCTTACTTTATAAACTAACTGAACCGGAGTTAGGGCAACCATTAGCGTTAGGGCTTGTAATGGGCCATTTCTGCTCTGACTAAAATGCCGCGGGGACCAGGACCATCACGGTGGATCAGACAAGATCTTATCATCGGATAGTCGATTATCAATCTGTCCATATATAATTCTCCGATGTTCGGATGCGACATTTCCCACATGGTCTGACATCTCTCCTTGCTGTTCGAATCAAATGGGACAAGAGAGAGCTGGCTGGGACCCTCGGCGCATGTCTGTCTACCCCTCTTCACCAACCTAAGCCACCAAACTCGCTTGCACGGCGATGGTTCCCTTTTCTTCGACCTTTTCTTGGAACGGTCTCAGCTCGATCCGGTTGGTCTCCCAGCGAGACCAATGAAAAGACTAGGGGGCGTCCTTGGCGAAGCCTAGGCGTCAGTGCCCAGCGTGCCTGGAAGGAGTAGCAGGCCCGGACCTGTCCACCTTTCTGTCTTGGGTCCTTATTTCATGGTTCTGGTTGGCCTGACTGTCTCAACGGACGGATCAGATAAGATGGAAAACATTGAGGGTAGACGAGACAAAAAAAAATAAAAAATAGAAAAAGAAAGAAAAAAGGCAGTATCTCATGATGCGCTCATTCTCTCAACACAGAGTTTTCTTCCCATTCCTTTTCTACTTTATAAATCTTTCTCTCTCCCCTCTTCTTCTTTCTCGCTCGTCCCCATGCGTTTGAATCGTCCCCCGGGTGGAAAATAAACAAGATGGTCTCTGACAAGGAACCAGGCCTGTCGGAGGAGGAGAGGTCATCGTCAATCCCCGGTTTTGCTCCCCCCATACCCGTGAGCCCGGGCGTCAAACGCATCGAGGCCATTTCCTCCACTTTTACCCGTACCGATCGCATCCTTTTTTTCTTCTCCATCTTTATTCTGGCCTACGTTTATGGATTGGACGGGACCCTGCGCTACACCTATCAGGTCCGTCTGCATATCGATCATCCGCTCCTGGACTTGGTTGCATAATGTCTAATTCTCTCATTTCATAGCCGGTGGCCACGGACGATTTTGGCCAACACAGTCTGCTTTCTACAATCAACGTTCTGCGCTCTGTGATTGCTGTCGCCGCCCAGGTCGGTCTTCTATCTTCATTTATTCTCCCTCTGTTACACTTGTCTGGGCATTCTTTGCGCCTGCATTTCCCTCCACCCCGTTTACTTCTTCTTTGCGACTTTCACGTTTCAGCGTTGCGAATTCTAACGTAGATTCTAGCCCACCCTTGCCAAAATTGCCGATGTGTTTGGCCGCAATGAGGTGGTCATCCTGTCGGTGGTATTTTACACCGTTGGCACCATCGTCGAAGCCGCTGCTAAAAACACCCCAACATTCTGTGGTGGTGCCGTGCTGTACCAGGTACGACATCCCGAACGCTCGCATATATACACACTCGCATGTATAGGCATGCTGATACTCCCAGCTAGATTGGCTACACCGGAATTTTGCTTTTGGTGGAAGTCCTCATCGCCGACACGACGTCTCTTCGATCCCGTCTCCTCTTTTCCTTCATTCCTGCCACACCCTTTATAGTAAGTGATTGATTGCGTGTGCGGGAAAGGCAACACCACTGATGGAAATAGATCAATACCTGGGTTAGTGGGGATATTGCCTTGGCCGTCCTGGGCACAGCAGGCTGGCGCTGGGGTATTGCCATGTGGGCTATCATCTTCCCAGGTAACTCCCGTAGTTTCCATCATCGATGAGCGGCAAGCTGATATTCCAAGTGTGCGCGATTCCTCTGTTCGTGATTCTCTACCGGGGCCACTACAAAGTCAAGAAACAACAGGGCGGATACGACAGCCGTTTGGGCGCTCTCACGTCTACTAAGGCAATCATTGAGTTGTTTCACTATTTAGACGTCGTGGGTATCTTCCTGCTGATCGCCTGGATGGCATTGATCTTGGTCCCATTTACCATTGCCTCAGACGGCTCGGACCAATGGAAGACGGCCAAGATCCTTGCGCCGTTGGTGTGTGGTATCTTTTGCGTTTTCCTGTGGGCGCTTTGGGAACGTCGCTGCCCGCACCCAATGATACCCTTCAGACTCCTCAAAGACCGCGCCGTGTGGGGCGCGCTTGGAATTGCTTTCATGCTGAATCTTTGTCGGTACCCTGCCTCACCAACTGGACCATCCAACTGACCTGATCACAGCCTGGAGCATACAGGGAGAGTTTCTGTTCACCGTGCTCCGAGTCAGCTTCGACGAGAGCATCACGAGCGCCACACGCATCACATCTCTATATAGGTCTGTTGACCTTGTCAATCGATCGTTCTCATGATAGCTTGTCTGACTGTTGTATAGCTTCGTCTCCGTCATCACAGGTTGTGTCCTTGGCTTTGTGGTGCTACAGGTCCGCCGCTTGAAATTCTTCATCATAGGAGGCACCTTGCTCTTTACGGTAGCCTTTGGTCTGCTCATCCGCTACCGCGGTGGGACCGAAGGGTCCAGCCACTCGGGCGTCATCGGTGCCCAAGTTCTGCTGGGTATCGCCGGCGGATTGTTCCCGTACCCAGCGCAGGCCAGCATCCAAGCCGCCACCAAGCACGAACGTACGTCCCACTCAACCATAACCCCACCTATTCTATCTCACCCATGCTAACGCCCAAAAAGACATGGCCGTCGTCACAGCCGTCTACCTCGCCCTCTACCAATTCGGCTCCGCCGTGGGGAATACCATCGCCGGAGCCATCTGGCGGCAGGTCCTCAACGCCAAACTCACGTATCAGCTGGGCGACGCAGTCCAAGCGGCTGCGGTCTTCGCCTCACCGCTCTCTTTTATTGAAGACCACCCGGTTGGAACGCCGATGCGCGATGGGGTGATCGTCGCCTATCGCGAGACGCAGCGGCTGCTGTGCATCACCGGTATCTGTCTTACGGTCCCGCTGATTGTCTTTTCGGTGTGTATTCGTGACACGAGGATGAGCGACGAGCAGAGTGATCCCAACGCCGAGGAGAAGAACAGAAATTCTTTTTGGTGACTGTGTAGTGGGGCCGTTGATGTCCGTAATGGGAGAAGGTGAGGGATTTGGTTGGTTAGGGTTTTGTGGTGCAACTGGTGCTCGTGTATTAAATTTAATTTCTAGAATTAATGTCACTTATAGGGAAGAATTGTCATGTTTCTTGTTAGAGATCAAGGGTGGTATATGCTATCCTCTATGATAGCGAATACAACCGGTTGAATGGATGGACCATTGTCTGACTCAAAGTGGAGCTCAATATCTAAGGTATAGTATCTCCAATTCAAACCTCCCTTTACATGTCCCTATCTCCTACTTTAGCCCAATTTATCATATGAATGAAGTATCCATTGATCTCCTTAGCTCCCTCACAACTACACTCATCTCCCCCCCCCACCTCGCGTCCCCGGCCCCAGGCGAATATCACAGAAAGATAGCCAAGATGCGAGTGGCAAAAAACCAGCGCTAACAGTGATGTCGTACTCGATAATTCTCTGTTGATAGAATCGTATAGGACAATCTTCTATTCTGGCCATCGAAATCTTCCATCTCCTGTTGGCTCGGATCCTCAAATCCGATAGACACGTCACGACGACCGAGCGTAGCCTGCTTGATGTGTGGCGTCATGAAACCGCAATTATACTGGTTGGATCGCGGAGTTGAAAGCCAGTTCGAGTCAGTCCTGCGGACTCGAGAGGTAGGTCATCATATGAGAATGGGGTTGACGGCCTTATATGCTGCCCAACCCTATCTGTATGTATGTCCGACGTTGCAGACGCATCTTGCTTGTTGTGTAACAGCCTCGTCCTACGCCCAACAGTCTGAAAAGTCTGTTAATCGTTCAAGCTGAGATCAGGCTGATCTTATGTGTGACGCTTTTTGTCAGTATCGTACGACTGGTTAGCATCAAATAGTGGACCTTAACAATGCTCCTCTTAAGTGGATCGTTGAGATAGTGGGGGTTTGTTTCACGCTATGCAAGTCTCCCTGGTTGCAGGGGTTATGGTCCTGCTCTCATCCTTCCGAGTCTCCCGATAAGAGCTATTGGAAGCTGACGCGGGCCGCTAAGATAGAGTCCGCAGGGCGGGGCTTTTAGTTCGGGGGCGGGGATAAGAACGAGGGGTGCCGGTCAGCAGCTTGCATGCTGCTAGGGGGGTTGCGCGTATATATAAGGCTGTTGGTCCCAGTTTCTATTTCCCAGAGACGTCAAGAGGAAATTGAAAGAACAAGGAAAATCACTACCACAGACTACAATACCACCCATCATGGCCTTCCCCTTCTCCTCCAGCAATCTTCCCACCCAGCTCTTCATCAACAACGAGTACGTGAATTCCCGCGGCGCGCAAAAGCTCTCAGTCCACAACCCCAAAGATGGCGCCCTCGTCACCGACCAAGTGCCCCTCTCCGGCGCCGAAGACGTCGAGGCAGCCGTCGCCGCCGCCGAAGCCGCCTTCCCAGCATGGAAGAAGACGAGCGCCATCGAGCGGCGCGAAAAGATGCTGAAGTTCGCCTCCCTCCTCCAGCAACACGTCGACCAACTCTCCGAGCTAAGCCGCATCACCCTCGGCGCCCCCTTCCGCACCTTCGGCGGGTTTGAAACCTCCATGGCATCCGAGTTGTTCACCTACTACGCTGGCTGGACCGACAAATTCGGCGGCGAGAGCTTCCCCCAAGACAACGGGTTCTTGAAGTTCACCCGCCACGAGCCGCTGGGCGTGACAGCCGGCATTGCCCCCTGGAATGCGCCTATGGGGACCATCGGGCTGAAGGCTGCACCGGCCCTGGCGACGGGGAACTGCTTTATTCTTAAGCCGTCGGAGAAGACGCCGTTGAGTTCGCTGGCGCTGGGTGCGCTGATTAAGGAGGCCGGGTTCCCACCGGGTGTGTTCCAGGTTTTGTCCGGGGATGGGTCGACGGGCGACTTGTTGGCCCGGCATATGCGTATTCGCAAGATCTCGTTTACGGGGTCCATCCCTACGGGCAAGAAGGTGCAGCGTGCAGCTGCGGAGAGTAACCTTAAGCGGGTGACGCTTGAGCTGGGCGGCAAGTCGCCGGCTGTTGTGTTTGATGATTGTCATTTGGAGAATGCTGTGTCATGGTGTGCGAGGATTACGGCGAATACGGGACAGGTATGTTCAATCATTGTTATAAATGTGAAGGAAAGAAGAAGAAGAAGAAGAAGAAGAAGCTAACGAAACAGGTCTGCTTCGCGCCGTCCCGAGTCTACGTCCAAGAAGGCATCAAAGAGCAGTTCCTCGCGAAATACAAACTCGCCCTCGAAGAGATGGGCAAGGGAGTTGGTGACCCCGACCACCCCAACACACTCATGGGACCCATCGTCGACAAAGCGCAGTTCGGCCGCGTCATGGGATTCATCGAGCGGGGCGCAAACCAAGGCATCCTGCTGACAGGGGGTAGCCGCGTCGGGGAGACAGGGCTGTACGTGGCTCCCACAGTCTTCACCGACGTGGAGGCGTCGTCGGAGCTCCTGCAGAATGAGATCTTCGGGCCTGTGGCGGTTGTCAACACGTTTAAGACGGAGGAGGAGGTCATCCGTGAGGCGAACTCCACTGAGTATGGGCTTATGGCGGGTGTCTTTACGCAGGATATCAACCGGGCGTTGCGTGTGGCGAGCGAGTTTGAGAGTGGTATGGTGGGTGTTAATGCTGTGTCGCTTGTGCAGACGGAGTTGCCGTTTGGGGGCTCGAAGCAGAGTGGAACCGGGAGGGAGTGTGGGAGGGCCGCGTTGGAGGCGTTCACGGAGACGAAGACGGTTATGATTAATTTGACTTATTAGTAGGTAGCTTGCTACCGGCTTGGAAGGTCAGCTGAAGCTGAGCGTGAAGACTACTGGAATTGCGTTACGCCATGTTTACGATGCAGAGTTCATGCAATATGACAAAGGATCATCATCCGTTGCACCTATTACAGGATAAGAAGTAATTACTTGTAAGCTAGATAGATATGTACGAGGGCCATGCCATGCCGCCGTCGAGATGACCGACATAGTCAAGGTTGCCGTATGCATCCAATTAATAGAACCCCATGATCTCTCCAAGGACACTGCGGAAGATCCCCTTGGGGTCGAACTTCTCCCTCACGGCCTTGAACCGGGCGATGTGCTAATTTCGGTCAGTGATGATTCTACACATTATACAGACTGGTACTCACATCTGGGTCAATGTTCTTGACCGCCATTTTGAATACGTCGCGGGTGTTCTTGGTCCAGTGGGGACGGCAGGGGAATTCTTCGACAAGGACCTTGGCGAGTTTGTCATCTGGTTTTATTAGCATGGTTTCCAACGTGGGTTGAGCGAGAGAAACAGAAAAGAAAGAAAAACAAGAGAAGAAACGCACAGAAAGGCTCATTGAACCGCGACCCATCCCCAACACTAGGCCGATAAGTCGGAAGGTCCAACATAATAGCGCCCTTCTTCCAATCGGCCCCATCAGCCGTATCGTAGGTCACCTGGCCCAGGAGATCAAAGTAAGGACGGCCAAACTTGATATTAATCCCCGTGCGATACGTCGACGTCATGATCTTCCCCTTCTTCTGCTCCTCGTCAAACAGTTCCCTCACACGCTTCAGCATCGCATTGGCCTGCGTCATTGGGAACGCCAACTCCATGGTGTAGCCGTGCATGCCGTACTCCCAGACGGGCTTCTGGTCCGGGTACAGCCCGCCGATCAGCACGTCGTAGTTCCAGCCGTAGACGGGCCACTCCTTGATGTCTTCGTTGGTGGTCTTTTCGCGGAAGTTGGGCTTCTCCCAGAGTCCGAAGAGGATGTCCTCTGCGAGCATGTTGGATGTTGCGAGGTAGCGGCCGGAGTTCCAGATGGAGATGATGGCGTTGGCTTCCGCTTTGGTTACAGAGAAGGTGTTTTGGAAGCCTTGTTGGTCGGATTTGTTGCTGGGAACGACGTCGTAGTAGCGCCAGTGGAACTTGCGCTTGTAGGGCCACCACTGGTTTGGTTGGTTAGTATGGTATATATATAAAGGGCATGAGATGGAGAGTAGTAGTATGGTAGGTAGAGGAAAGAGGTACGTACCCAAAAGTTTGCGGTCGCGTACGGCTCGATCATTCCGGCAATGTCCCCGTCCAAGACCTCCTCGTCGTCGAGACTGCAATAATTAGTGAACGGTCGCCACGGACAGGAGGGTAGAATGCGTACGTCTTCTGATCCGCATAGACCATGAAATCCGGACGGATCTTGAACTTCATGCGAACAATAACACCCAGGAGACCCAACGACGTCGACGCAGCAAGCCACTCATCGTTGTCATCGTCCCGCTCAATATGGCGCAGCTGGCCACTCCCATCAATAAAGTCCAAGGACAAGACACCCGCGGCAACCATCGACTCCTCACGGATCGAGGACCGATGCGCGCCCATCGCGACACACCCCGCAAGGGTGATATTCCAGTTAACGAGCGTGTACCCGGCCGACGCGCCCCTTTTGTGCAAGTACTCCGCGAGCTGGAGGAAGGTGACACCCGCCTCGATCATAACCGTGCCCGCCTCCAAGTCAAAATCGTAGATGTTGTTCACCTCCTCGGTTTGGATGATGACGGTGTTCGGGTCGTCCGAGCACATCGTATCGTACCACATGTGCGCCTTTCCGGACGCACGGACTTGCTGGCCATCTTTGATGGCGCGCTTGACCATATCCTGGATCTCGTCCACGCTGCCGGGCGTGCGGACAGCGGCGACTTCATTACACGCGGGGAAACCTTCACCGTCGAACGTGTTGTAGGGGCTGGCGGTGGCCCTCAGGGCCAGTGCCAATGCGGTGATTGCCGGTAAGACCCTCATCGTGGACGGTGGAGGGATTTACTGAAGTCGAACCAACTCAGAAGAAAAGCATTGCGGTTTGCGCGGAAAATCTTCACCTGGCTTTTATATATGTAGCGCGAATGGAAGATCACATTCGGCTCCTTTTCTCCTCGTTTACCGAGGTTGCACCTTCATGGCGTCTGTCGTCCCCTGTATTTGCGTCCCCTCACCGGTCTTTCTCTGGTCTCTGCTGTACGGGGTTTGCGGGGAACTAATTGGGATCTACCGCAAATCTTCACCCGGGGGAAGTGTGATTGGGCAGGATTTCAGGCTTATATCAAGCGAGAAATATGCCTATTCAATTAGTTGGGGTAGGATATTTGTGGATGCATTCCTGCAAAATCAAGTTTCTACTATTTTAGTGCATTATAGACATATGGAAGATCTTTCTTGCTATTGTGCAGTATCTCGAAGGGAACGACGTTGTCGTACACTTATCCGAGGCATTCCTTGGACGGCGAGTGGGGGAGAGGGTAAGTGCAGTTCATTTCATGTCTCTGCATAGCATGGGGTCTTGATGTCAGTACTAATCATATGTGGTATACATGGCGAGAAGCTGGGGAGTCGAAGCTCAGCAAGTCATGTCTCCTTAAGAGCATGCCAGATCAACAGGGCAGGATTCAACCGTCCCCTCATCCAGCGACGCTGGTCCAGGTAGTGGCTTGGCGTCTGCATATCACTGCCTGGAGCTGTCATGTGGATTTTTCCTGTTTATTTAGGCAATTCATCGCGATTGGAGGTAAGTGGCTCGGTGTATGGTTATGCAACGGGCAGAGGGACCCACGCATTGTGTCATATGCACTCTAGCAGTCTGGCCATCAGGAATCTAGTATTCGTTGTTAGAAAGACGACCTGGGGATAATCTGTTGAACATGATAAATGTTGATATCAGAGATTAAAGTGCCTTCTCAGAAGGCTTGGAGTAAAATAATCATTCACCCAGCAGACAGCACCCCAGAGGGCTTCTGTGCGCGAGCTTGATATGAGCATCCCATGGAGCTGCAAGGAAAAGCATTGTCGTATTATTATCTGAACATTGTTGACAAATTGGACGATATGTGGCTGTATATCTCGGCGATATTAATATAACATAATATGCTGAATGCAGCTCATTCACGGGGTAGATGAATCATTGTTTGACAAGATTCAAGGAGTTGAAGTTATTCGTAATGGACTGGGTGGTTTGCCAACTTTTTGCCTGAGGCTGCAATAACCAGTGCATTATAAATCCGCTGACTCATCTCGGTTATCGGATCTCAATCCCTATCGCTTCGTATCATTTCCGATCGGGAATTGCTTCGTTCTGTATAACCGTCATGTCCCACTATGCGCGTGTCTATCTCCTGTGAAGCTTGCCGGTATGCCCGCCTGAATACGTGGCCTACTGAACGAGATGAACTAATTCTACAGACAATCCAAAGTGAAGTGTATCCACAACGGTATGAATTGACGTAAAACAAGTCCCTCGGGAATAGAGGGCTGATGAGAAGCACAGGACAGGCCCCTTGCCATCGATGCAACCGACTCAATCGCACTCATTGCGAGCTCACCGACCCCAGGTCTGCCTCGTTGACCCCCAGAAAGTCGGTCAAGCGGGGTAGAGCAGTGCGGGCATCCCCGTCTCTCAGCCAAGGCCGTCCACAGACCGTCGCCACACAGTCTACTGGCAATCAGAATGTCTGTCACCACTGCGAGTCGCCAAATCCAATAGCGACACTGCCAGCAGCCACAATCATTCACGCCTGTGACACATATCGCCGAAAGTTCCCGGTGGTCAACTTCCTCCACTATCCGTCGCTCATTGCGGAGGTTTCTGCTGATTCATCGGCCGTGGACCCCGTCTTTGTATCGTCCTTATTGTCACTATGTGCACGCTTCATTCCCGGGCTGGCCTCGGAAGAGGTATACGCCGACTATGCACGCAAGCAACTGGCGCGACGGGCCTTTGAGGCACCTTCATTGTCAATGGCGCAATCGCTGGTGATGATTTCGCTCTACGAGTGGGGATCTGGCCGTCCCTACAAAGCGTGGATGTATAGCGGCATGGCCACGTATATGATTCAATCCTTGCTGAAGACGGCGGATGACAGCATGGAGCATAACCCGGACGAGTTCTACGCATCACAGGCCCAGCAAACGCAGTATGAACAACTCGTGCGCACGTACTGGGCTCAGTTTGCCCAAGATTGCGAGCTCTCCTCCGGGGCCCGACAGCACTTCGCACTTTCCTTCGACGTTATCAAGGTTCCTCTACCTATCAGCGACAGGGACTTCAACTTTAGCCTCCACAGCCCGACACGTTGGATGCCAAAAGACCTCAACCGGCAGTCTCTGACGGCTCCACTCACCATTGACCATGGATTGACTATAGTGACACGGGGCTTCGATATTTTCGTGAGAATACTGCGGTATGCCAACGAAAGCCGGCGGGGGCGGGAGTCTGAGTCCCCTCCTCACCGCGCATTCCAATCCCTCCTTGCAGAGTTGGATCAATGGCGGACCCTACAGGACGTGACGGTTCGCTTTCCCGACACGCACGCTTTGGCACACGTAGCATTGGGATATGGAGAATTGTTTGCGTACATTAATCTGGTCTATTTCATGAGGTAAGCTCATATCACCCACCCCGATGTGTCTTTGTTAATCCTGTAGTGTACTGTTCCTCTACCGCGATCGCGTCCTGACAGGCATCGCTTGGGGCACGTTTGAAGGCGACGATGCATTCAATAGGCTTTTCACCGCATCCCAAAGCATTGGAGGCATTCTGTCCGAGCTGGAAGCCTCGGAAACTCCCGTGATCACCCCATACGCGGGGTTCAGCGTGTTTGTGGCGGCCCACATCAACATGTACGGCACGGTTTCGCCCCACCCTTACCCCGGTGGGCGCGAGAGAGCGGAGACGGAAAAGAAAGCGAACTTTGCATACTTGGAGCGCGTGTGCAAGTTTTGGCCTGGGGTTGGAAGGAGTTGGGTATGTTCCACGACACCGTTTGGAGATCCCCGCTAACTTGCCCAGTGGCGCACCGTGCAAGAAGCGAACCGATTCTATGAAAACGCCCGGAATCACCCAGGGCACGTCATGGCTTTGGCTCGGCCGGGCCATCTCGCTCTTGCGGGGACGCTGGATGAATATGGTGATATTCGATCCGCACGGCGACATGAGCTCCCTACCATGCGACGCCGACGAGGGGAGACGATCTTGGACGAGGGCGATATGGGAAGACACAGTACCGGTCAGGTACCTGATGTCCGGCCAATGGCGGAGCTACACGAGTGGGAAGCCGAATTGCTGCAGTGGCCTTTCATCGATGAGACATGGACCTCTGGATTTGACACGGGGGTGGAAGCGGCATGGCCCAATCTTAGCTAACCCTACAGACCCTACTAAAAAAAAAAATCACCGAAATAGAATCATTTTGAATTTTTCATTAATTAAATAACTGTGACTATGTGTATCCCGATCCCAAACGCCCGCTCCGATGTATGCAAAACTTCAAATCGTCCATTGCCGTACAAATGCATTAAACTTGTCCACCTCCATAGGATCCGTCGCCCACGACGTCACAACGCGCACGACGGACCGGCCGTCATCCAAAGAATCCCACACATAAAACTGGAATCTCTCCTGCAGGTCCTGGATGAGCTCTTCAGGCAGGAGCACAAAAACCTGATTCGTCTCAACCCGATCATCCGGATACAGAGCGTACCCCAACTCAACGAAATTATCCGCCAGACGCGCCGCCATATCATTCGCATGGCGGGCCAGCTGGAGATACAGCCCGTCGCGGAAGAGTTCCGCAAACTGACACCCCATGACACGGCTCTTGGCCAGCAAAGCCCCGTGCTGTTTGACGTGGAAGACGAAATCGTCCGCGTAAGGGAGGGTCTTTTTCACGACGACCGCTTCGCCCAAAAGGGCCCCCATCTTGGTGCCTCCGATCCAGAAGATATCCGTTAACTCGGCGATGTCCGCCAGCGTCGGCCTCTCATCCTCGGGGTGCGCGGCAGAAGCGACCGCGACGCCGATGCGCGCCCCATCCATCATCAGCAGCAGGCCCAGCTGCTTGCACACGGCGGACAGATCGCGCAGCTCGCTCTTCGAATAGACGGTCCCAAGCTCGGTAGCGTTCGAGATATACACCAGCCTTGGCTTGGCCGCATGGGGGAAGAATTGATTGCGCTGGACGGTGCGCACCAACTGCGCGGGAACCATCTTGCCGCGCACTGTCCCCGGCACGATGATCGTCTTGTGGCCCGCCGCGACCTCAATCGCGCCGGCCTCTTTCCCGACGATGTGGCCCGTCTCCGGGGTGAGGACCGCTTCGTAGGGCCGTAGGCAAGCCGCGATGCAGATGAGGTTGGCGGCTGTGCCGCTGGGCACGAAGTGGATGTCTACCTGGGAGTCATCGAGGTTGATTTGCTGCCGGAGGAGGCGGCGAGCGTCGGAGGAAAGTGTGTCTTGCCCGTAGGACGATTGTTGAGTTGTGGAGGAGGTTAGGAGGGCGGAGAGGAGGGCGGGATGGGCAGCTTCGGAGTAGTCGTCCAAGAAGCTGTATGGGATGTGTTGCTGTACCGCGGCGGGCATTATGTGTGTTTATTATGTTCCTTTGTTTGTCTATTTTTTTTTCTGACTCGAAGAAGTTTTCGTGGATTGGGGAGGCAAATTGTCTATAAGTACTTTGAGCTACTCGAGTAAGGTATTCCCGCGGTAATGATTTGATCGGGAATAACAGCATGCAGATTCCATAAAACTTGTTTTGACGAGTACAGCTTAGATATCTCTGCGTTACAATACAAAGCCTGCAATTGCAACTGTGTAACTTGCATGCTCCATTCCTGACCACCGCCATGTAGATGACACCCGTCACCTCAATATTTCTGGGGTCCATCCACATACATACATACATCGACCAGATTCCGATCGTGACAATCCGTTGGGGTACGATTTTTTATTCCCGTCGGGAATAGAGCAGACCCACCACAGCAGCTTGGTGACTCTTGTTTGATGCCCGTCCATGGTTCTAGAACTTGATTTCAAGCATTCGAGTCATGTCCAATTGGACAATTCTTTCGAGCGCGGCCGGCCATTGTCCAATCGGTACGCAGCACGAAGGCCCCGCTGATATGGCGGGCTTTGGTCGCTGACTATCTGGACGTATTGCGGTTTAATCGGCTTTTAGATCTTTATATCCCGGATGACTATAAATATCTGCCGTGCTTAGTTAGTTTATTGACTGGCTGCTGAACTAGCATCGACGGATATAAACGGTCGGTCTAGTTTTTATTGTCTTTACTGTTGACTTGTCCTACGGGGTGTTAGGATTATTGAGAGTGGGCGTCGTGATAATTACAGACTTGGTCACGGTTGTATAGATATGTACAGTCACCTGACTGTGCTTGGCCGGTTATTCAACCCCTGTCTCTGTCTTTGTTTCTTGTTCATCATCACTATATTCCCTTTTCGTCGTATAATAAACTTTCTCTAACAATGAGTGTGACATGATATGGAATATAGTCGCAGGTAGATCTAGTTCCAGTTTAAATCCTGCTGAGATCCTGCTGAGATCCTACTCGACTTCAATACCCCCTAGATACGGCCAGGCGCCTGTCGGATGTCGCTCCTGCAGATGTTCGGACGTACTCGCAATATTCTACGATCCTATAATCGGGTCCACATTCCCCCAGGCTATACACATTCCCGAAAGCCGAGATCGTCACTGTCTACTCTTTCCCGCCGGGAAACAGACAGATACAGCAAGGATACAGAGAGATCCAAGGAGTCTGGCCCGTCGGGAATAAGACCTAAAAGGTTTCAGTACATGCCGATAGAATACGTGGAAGATCTGGACAGATACTGTCCCGGGGGATACCATCCTTTACAGGTCAAGAACACCTTAAACGCCGGCCGTTACAGACTGGTCGATAAGCTCGGACACGGAGGGTACTCGACCACATGGCTAGCCCGTGATTTACAAAGAGATAGATATGTAGCCGTCAAGGTTATCACCGCTGACGCTAGTGCTTCCACGTCAGAGGCTATTCTTATACATGCCCTTGGGAATGTGTTATCTAAACCAGGAAAAGAGATCATTCCTTCCATCCTCGACGAATTCTGGGCTGTCGGTCCCAATGGGGAGCATAGATGTATCGTTGCTCCCTCTGCACGGATGAGCTTGTTCGATGCCAAGGAGGCTTCCACTTTTCGCCTTTTCCAGCCGAAGGTCGCGCAGTCAATTATTGCTCAGCTTATTCGTGGTGTGGCATTCCTCCATAGTGAAGGCATTGTACACGGCGGTATGTGATGTTTGTCAATGAGTCCAACGCAAATGAACATCTAACTTCTTTCTTTCCAAGACCTGCACCTGGGAAACATTCTAGTCCCTTTCACCGAATCAATTGATCATTATACTACACTAGAGCTATACAAGAAATTTGGGGAGCCCGAGCCCGAGGCTGTTGTTCGTCTCGACAACAAGCCATTATCAACTCACGTCCCCTCACACGCACTCGCACCCGGCTGGTTTGGCATTTGCAGCGATGATCTCTCCCAGGAAGAGGCAAAGATCATACTCAGCGACTTTGGAGAATCATACAACCCCCACGCAACTGATCGATTCTTCTCAAAGACACTTCCCTGGATTCAACCACCGGATGCCCGCTTCTCAGAAGAGCCCCTCTCTTTCGCGTCAGAAGTCTGGACCCTCGCCTGCACCATCTGGGAGATCTTTGGTCAACGACCCTTTTGCGACACATTTTGCTCAACGGCAGACCACGTCACCGCGGAGCAAGTCCAAGCTCTTGGGACTTTGCCCGGGGAGTGGTGGGAGAAGTGGACTAGACGATTGGAGTGGTTCAGCGAAGAGGGTGAGTTAGATGCGAAGTATGGCGTGTGCAGGACCATCGATATGAGGTTTGACTACTGTGTGCAGGAGCCTCGGGCTGAGGCGGGCTTGGAGATGGTGACTGAGGAAGAGAGGAGGGCGTTTATGGAAATGATACGGTCGATGCTCGTCTTTCGGCCGAGGGATAGGGCGACAACTCAGCAGGTTTTGCATTCAGAGTGGATGCGAGGCTGGGGACAACCGGCCTTGAGAGGCGGACTGGATGGAAGTGAGATAAAAGGATCTCCAGCGAGATAGGAAGATGCTCAATCTTGGATTATACTCATGGGTTAATGTTACAAATTCACATAATTTATCTACGAGAATGACTTCGTAATGAAATTCTGTTAATCTCCTTGATAACAAGCAATGAAAACCCCAGTATCTAAGCATGCAGGTCATGATAACCCTAGTATATGTAATCCAGAAAAAGGACCAGTATATACCCCCTACTACCTATTAATCACAAAAGATCGCCCTTCGTAGTAAACACCGAAACTGAAAAGCAAGGCAAGAAGAGAAAAAGGGGAGCCCATCATTTACTATCAACCATCCAACGCCTAGTCTGAATATCCCCCTTCAGGAGATTCAGCAACTCATCCTCACTGGACTTCTCTAATCCCCTGGAGATAATAAAGCCATACCAAATCCCACCTGCATCTTTACCTTGAGCAGGATGCCTCGTGGCCATCCCATCATTGACGACCAGCGACACGGCGTCGAGCAGGTCCGACTCACCGCAGACGGTGCCAATATACGGACAAAAAAACCAGCACCCTTTGCCTTCCACGCCAGGCTTGGAGTCTTTCACGGAGTCCCAGTCGTAGATTATGGCTCGCCCATCGTTGATATCTAACTCCTGCGTCGGGTTCCTCCAGTAGAAGAACTCGGGGGCGGCGCTCTTCTTGACTCTTTTGGTAGAGTGTCTCATTTTGACGGATTGAACTGGATGGCTTTAATTAGCTTTGGTGGTAGTTTTGGATTGGGAGCAGATGGTTGTTTAGGTTTGTAGTTGTGTTAGGGGCTGATGATGATGGATGGTGTGAATAATTCGGGTGGGAGTCAATTATTTATAGTGTGGCATTTGGCAGAGAATGAAGTTGTTACTCTGTTAATAGATCCTTTGTAGCGCCCTATTGTATAGCCCTTCTTGACGAGGCAGTAACAAGGGTTGTCTTTGTCTGGAATCAAATGGTTATTGTGTTTCTGACAGAGTAATGGAGGGTGTTACACACGGAGCTATACATAGTTAGGACGAAACAAAGAGGCCGGACTTGAATGCTTTTATTTACTATGTGGTAAGAATAAGAAAAAAGCAAGCAGTGCATAAGTTTTTTTCTTTCGTAGATAGTAAGAATGGGGATAAAGAAAGCAATGCCTCGTTGATCGCTCGCAGACATTGCTTCTGAAGAAAGAGTCAACCTTAGGGCTCGCGGGTCACGGGACCTATATCGAAAAGCATATGTTGTCTATTGTCAGACAGTGAATGAAATACGCTATGAGAAGTTGGTGTGGATGGGAACTGGTCATTCAACAACCTTTCAACTTGTGTATCTTCAACAGACATGAAAGTTTTGGAAAGGCGATGAGAATTGGAAGGGCATGCTTAGCATATAATGGAGCTTTACATCGACTAATAATACCCATTACTTGAGACTTATGAACAAAGAAGAGGGCAGATAATGTAGTCATTACAATGGCTGTCTGCCACTGGAGTAATAATGCCATAGAGCCTGGATCTTCCTTGTGTTTTGCATATCTGAATACCACCCCTCGTCTCGTCCTAGATGACAAATTTTATCACTTTGGATTTACATTTCTATTTTTCTATAAGAGATCCTTCCCAATGTCTAGAAAGAATTTGTTATATAAATATTTATGACCAGCCCAGTGATATCAAAATGACTTTTCATTCAAAAATGCAAGCAAGCTCCATGTTGAAACCTGCTACAATACCACCTCCCATATACGACAAACGACAAAGCAGACAGGTAAAAACAATCCAATTCTGTAGGGCCGAATAAAGAAGGAAAGATAATATAAATCTCTCTAAGTCAGTATCCAAGGCTTCTCTGTAGCGGTAACCTCAACAACAATTCCACCTCTCCTTCACATCCAACGTCCGCTTCCGAACATCAAGCCGCATTAACCCCAAGTCTATCCTATCCACCATTAAGCGCGAGCTAACCAATCTCAACTTAATATTACATTCCACGGGTCACCACAGAGGAGCTGTTACAGCCAGAGAGTTTTGTCGTCTATATCTACAAGAAGTACAGCCCTAAGCAGCTGCATCTCATCCACGAGCGTCCCAGTCATCGGGAAAAAGTACCACGAGCCCAATGCACTGTTGGCTTTGGAGAAGCTCTACCCGCTGATGTAGGCATTTTTAGAATTGATTGCGGTGACTCGGTCAGGACCTGTCTAGTAATTGATGTTTCGTTGTCGTTGGCTGTGGTCTCGGGCGTCGTGGAACTGGGGGATTGTGTGTTACCCAGGTCCAGGCTGGAGATGGAGGCGTCGGACTTTCTCATTGCCTTGATGGACATTTTGATGGGTTGATTATGGACTTATTTGGTAAATGAGGTTAGGGGTTTAGTTGGGGGTAGTGATTATTTGGAGAGAGATGGGGTGATTATTGTTATTAAGGGGAGCTGAGGGTGGGCTGATATTTATACCTTGGATGGTGGATAGCAGGAGAGGCTTTCCGGTTCTTGTATGTAAGGCTCTTTCAAGCAGCTGTATTGTTGCTATTGTCATGGAATAGGACAAAGTAGTGCAGAGAGTCAAATAAACCACTGAAGAAACAAAGGTTGGGCAATAAAGCACCCTTGTTGCTGGGTATTAACACGATAAACTATATACAAACTAAGTACGAAGAACAGACGAAACCTTCCAAAGCTCGTTCATCTGGATTCAATATTCCAAAACAGATCAAGTCTTAGGGCACGCCATTCCGCGGTCTTATCCAGCGGTACTAATATTTCTTCAAATCACCCCTGTCACCAACCCCTACTAGTCCATTTACTAGCTTGTCGGCACTGCAATCCTAGGTGGGGATCGGCCAAGAGTATTAAAAGAACAAACACAAGAAAGCTCCACGCAAAATGCCGAGAACCGACATGATCGGTCAGTATCAACATGATCATCTCGAGTTGGCCACTCCACTCCTTCACGGTGGGGATCTGCCCGGCCCCCAACCCCTCAGCTACGCATAGCCTGTATGCGGCCCCCTTACGCCATTTAAAATGGCATATTCTGGGAATTATCCTCTAATCTCACTGACTTTCCAAATCGACTATCAACTATCCAACAGCCAGCCGAAGCACACACAAAAATTAGAGATACAAAATGGGAAGCGCATCCCCACCCCCGCACGCCCTAGTGTTCGGCGCCAGCGGCATCAACGGCTGGGCATTTGTCAACGCCCTACTCAACGACTATCCCTCCGCAGATGCTTTCCAACACGTCACAGCCTTTACGAACCGCCCCCTGAACGCAAAGGACGCGCAGTGGCCTGCCTCATCGAAGCTACAGCTCGTGTCGGGGCTGGACCTCGTCGGAAACGACGAAGCGGGACTACAGGATGAGCTACAGAAACGAGTTCCCCACATCGAAGGCGTAACCGCCATCTACTTCTGCGCATATGTATTTGACAGTGACAACGCGAGAGAGATCGACATCAACGTGGGCATGCTGAAGAAGGTTGTCCTTGCGGTTGAGAAACTCTGTGTGAATTTGAAGGTTGTCGCTCTACCGACTGGTGTTAAGGTCTGTCAATGCCAATTCCTGCAACGCGTGCAAGCCAGTCTCCATCCACGTCTCCGACAGCAAAGCTAACTGGTGGTTTCGGCTCACCAGGAATACGGTGTCCACCTGCTGGAGAAATTCCCCTTCGCAGACAACCTCCCGCTGAAAGAAACCCACCCTCCGCTCCCCGAGCCCTACCGCAGCGAGCTCTTCTACACCTACCAGCTCGACTTCCTCCGCACCACGTCGGCCAACAAAAATTGGACGCACGTTGACGTCCGACCCGACATCATCATCGGTTTTGTGCCCAATAACTCCCTTCACAATCTTGCGCAGTGGATCGTCCTGTACCTCGCCTTGTTCCGGTACATCCACGGACCCGGCACGGAGGCGATCTTCCCAGGGACCGCCAAAAGCTGGAAGGCGTTGAGCAACAATTCCAGCCAGGACATGATCGCACGATTCTGCATTCATCTGTCGCTGCATACGGAGGAGCCCGGAATCGCGGGAGGCAGTTTCAACGTCTCTGACAATGCGGTGCCGTCGAGCTGGGAGGAGAAGTGGCCTGTGCTCTGCGAGTATTTTGGCCTCAAGGGTGTTGGTCCGGTAGAGGGCGGGCCGGAGGCCGCTGCCTTCTTAGAAGAACATCGGGATGATTGGGCCAGGATGGAGAAGGAGTATGGGCTGCGAACGGGCCATCACCATGGGAAGGGTGACGATAAGAGTCTGCCGTTTGTGCCGTTCTTCCTTCTCAGTCAGTTTGATTTTGATAGACAGGTTGATCTGACGAGGATGCATGCTGCTTGGGGTCCCGCTAAGGAGGAGCGGGACATCAAGACGACGTGGTATACGACGTTTGAGAGATATCGCACGGCTGGGATTATTCCTTCTTTCTAGATAGGTGGTCCTTGCGAATATTGCTATGAGTTCGGAAACGGCTGGCGGTCATCAGCGGAGGTTTTTGTCCAATTCCGTTACTCCAGGTTTAACCAGGTAGAAAAGCTTGGTGAACCCAGCACGAGAGCACAGATTAAGTTGACATAAGTAATTCTTCGCAAATGTAGGAAGCGCTCTTAGAGAAACCGATATAGGAATTCCAGGTTCTGCAGATTCGACGGTTCCTGAGACGGCGCAGTCCCCAAGACATCGGTATAATCATCTGTGAAGTTAAACAGCCCACCAAACCATTCACTAGGAGCGCTCAGGTCAGCCTGAGCAACAGAAGCAGCTTGTGGAGAGAGATCCAGGGGGGCATCAGTGGGATGGTTCGTAGTTATATCGTCTGAGTAACGTGGTGTATACGTCTCCGGTGTCTCATTGCTGACGCTGTGCCGAGCGTCTGTCCCGGGGTGGGTGTGGTCCGGGAGTCGAAGATTACGCGCAGTGCAATCGTCTAAACACCGGAAGAATAGATCCAGAACCCAATTTTCAAGATCCCAGGATTTTTGCAACTCTTGGAGACCAAGAAGGCAGAGGCGCGCGCGGTGTTCTGCTAGTTTTCGTGTTGT